CCCCCGCCGGGTCGCCGACCCGCCGACGACCGTTCTCGCGCCGGAGCCTGCCGCGGTATCGCCGCCGCCGCCGCCGTCGCCGTCCCGCTCGCTTTTGACAGACGCGCGCCCCGCACCGCTATAACCGGATCCGGGAGACGTAATTAACGTAATGGATCCCGGTGTTGCCGCGGCGGCGGCGGCGGCCAACGCTGCAAAGTGCATAAATATTACACGCGGGCGTCCCCCGTCTTTGAGGGCGGCTGACAGTTTACGGTAAAACACTATTATACTGTTGTCGGTACCGCCGCCGCCGCCGCCGCCGCACCGTTGATGTACATTATCTCTACCGACCGCTGTCCGTGGCCCCGCGCGGCCGCTGTCCGGGTGATTCGCGCGTCCGGACTGTCGCCAGTTATATTTCGTTAATAAAACGCAACGCGGCGGCCGGTTGTTCGTTTTTTTTTTTGTTTTTTTTTGTTTTTAACCTTCGCGGTTCGACGCGACAACGGCCGAATAACAGTAAATGGAACAATATAGTTGACGAAAATATCTACGGTTTGAAACGGCCGAAAACTACTAACGTTTATTAAAACACGCTGCAGAATAGAATTTGTTACTCGCCGGATTACAAAGACAAAATCGGTTCGACGACAACTGGCGTTGACATAAATGTTTTGTAGTTTTCTAGACGTTTCCCCCACCCCTGCGTTGATAAGCGTTGACGGAATTCATGTAAAGGGTGACGAGTCAAAAACAACTAATTTTCAGGAGATAAAAAAAAAAAAAAACCAAATAAAATATTTTCAAATGCTTTAAATTGAATTTGTTCTTAATATTATACATAATTTAAAATATATTTTATCAATAAAATTGCATTTAAATGATTTATCCCCTTTATCCTATCATGACTTGTTATCATTATCATCTATAATATTTGAATAGAATGATTTAACCCACCAATCACATAAATTACTTGTTCGCTAGGTTTTTAAAATAAAATAATCATTTGTATTTTATTTTATTATAGATAGGTAATGAATACGAGTACCAAGAAAAAAGTTGGGCACAGAAAAAAAATATCGTAATATTATACAAATATATTTCAAAAATAAATCAAATAAATATAGTAATTACGTATATAAATAAAAAAATGTATGTATAAAAACAAAATAAATAAATGAATGCGACGCCTGGAGTATTGCGATAAGTGTATTACACGACCGGTTTCGAATTAAAAATTCACCATCAGGTATGTCACAGTCAAAGTGAAAACATTTGTTTACTTAATTTATTTGCGAGTATTAACTATTTCAATCATTTTTTTTTTTTTTACTTTATTATTATATTAAATATATTTCGTACATTTTCCCGTTTTTACAAAGTTTTTTTTCAGTTTTTCTCATTTGATGAGAAAATCGAAAAATGAACTCTCTAAAGTATTCTCCCCACGCCGATTTATTGACAATCGTAGAAAATAATAAAATAACAACGTAAATAAAAGCTACTTTGATTTGTAATATTATGGATTGTCCCCTTACGCACAACACTGCTTCTTATATCGTAGAATTCGATCATTATGACAATGAATAATTCTGTAATACGAATGGGGGAGGAGGTTTCGACCTTAGTGACGGGAATTTACCGATATGGGGTTTTTTTTTTAAATATAAATACATTTTTTATAACCAAAATTAAACTCTCTTGAAGAGTTATTTTTATCTACGTGAATAAATATTAAAATATACTATCAATAAGTAAAATGCGTTTTTATGTGGACCTCCATTAATCCGGCGTTTTCTGGTAATTCTCTGATCTGACCTCTACCCGATTAGCGATATTGAGTTCGTACCAACGTAACTGTATATAAAAAAAAAATATATATATATACAGACATTTTAACATCGTATAATAAAAAATGTTCGAATTTTTAATTAAACGCGATTTTATTTCGATCGTCACGCGCGTTGCGTACCACAGTACCGTATAATGTTTTATTCGCCGAAACCGCGGCGAAAAGTCTGCAGCGAGCGTTATTGCAACGAGCATTAAGTCCGGTAAGAAACGCCGTGTCGACCTTGTTTGGGTAATGTTGGGTACGCTGTTTGCCCTTATGATTCCCGGCGAAACAAACGCGTAGGTATTAAAAATCCCGAAGCACAGGTGTTCTTATGCACAAGTTCCTGGGTGGAGGAGCGTTAATCCGATTATAAACGACGCGAATTTCGGAGGGCCCGGGTAAAAACGCCCGGCTATAAATATAACCTATTTACCGTATCAAATAAAGTCCCGGGGAAAAGACAAAAATAAGCGGCGCGCGCGAGCCATGATTTATGTTTGTGATGTGACAAATAACCAAATACACTTTTCGCCCAAAACTGCAATATCGAGGCGTTATTTCGCCACACGCGTAATAATACACTTTGCATACTTCGTATCCGGCGATCCCACGCGTGACGGTAGAGAATTGCCGGATCCGGCGGGTACGTCTTAGGTGTTTTCAGCACATTATCTGAAAGGGAATTTCATCTAGTTGGTGCTTCGGGGCGGTCGTTTCGATTGATTTCCCGAGCAGTTTTCGTAATAATCGGGAAAAACCGGGAAAATGTACAAGAATTTTTGAATGCACATTAGCAATGCCGGTATTCGTTTAAATTTCATTTTTTTTTTTTGTCATAATTCAGTTCAAAATGTTCGTGGAGATTTTAAATTCGGACAGAAAAATTATGTATACCTTTTAGTTTTTAAATCATTTGAGCCGTTATCGAGCTATTTATAGACAATATATTTTGCGAGTTTTTTTACGTAATTTTATTCGGTAGGATAGTCTGTGGATAAAATTGTTAGACCGAACGGAAATGTTTTCCAGAAACGGGAGATTCATTATAAATTGTACTTATTGACCAACAAGAAAAAGTGTTTTTTTTTTTTTTTTTATAAGAATTATAGTATCAAATTTTGACAAAAATCGTAAATATTGGCCTTTTAAAACATGTTTAACCTAACTCTGCCCAGAATAGTATTTGGTAAGCAATGGTTTAACTTGGCGTACAAATATAAATTAAATAACCTTATATTATTTTGTATTCTTATATTTCTATCTTCCTAACTCTGAATAAATCTAACGCTCCGGGTATTTTATGCAATAATTTAACAAATTTGTTTATAAAAAAATAAAAAAAAATACAACGTATAGTGTAGTAATTTGTAAAGTAATTTATTTCGTTAAAAAATAAAAATAATATTATTTTCACGTCCGGGAGGATAAAAACTTAAGCTTTACGAAAGTACAAGACGGAAGTTGGGTAGTTACAGGAGTTTTAGTTTGTTTTATGTTTTGTAACGTTCTCGAACGCTGTGCTTGTTTTATTTTATACCGACGTCTCTGCACCACGTCGAATCGAAAGCCCGCTGGCGAAACCAAGTTTAAACATAAAATTATAACTAATCGTCCGCACTCGATATTATTATCAAGCAGGTAATACGACGGTAGGTACCTTTGTTCCGTGGTAGTTGTACGCAAAAAACATTTTAGCATAACAGTTAACAACTAGTTAGTAAAAGAAAAAAAAACAACGATAATAATAATAAAAAATAACAATGACTTTCGGTATTATCTTCACTGCTTTAAAACTTTCGAAATTGTACAATTACACACGGCTAACGCATATATTATAAAAATCACGGATAGGTATAATCCTGATAACTAGGTATATTTCAAATTCCGAGCGGAACGAAGAAGCTTACGGTTTTACAAAGATTTTTATTTTTTATTTTTTTTTGTGAACAATTTTTCTATCAGAGATCTTGCTCCGATTTTTAAGTATAGCACCCCTTCTGAAAGGAAATCGGACTGAGAAGGTACTTTAAAGAGTTTATTTTTCGATTTTTTTTCAGAGTTTTCTCATTAAATGTTGAAAACCAAAAAAAAAAAAAAAAAAAAAAAAAATGGAGGAAAAACGGGAAAATGTACAAAATGTATATACAGTGGATGTGGCCACCGGTTAATGCGTGCAGCCGCCTAATATGAGCGTAATGGTCTGGTCCCGATTCTAATGTATTACAATACTAATTTCGGTTAAAATGGGTAACTGTTCAATGTGGACCAATGTAACTGGTCCCAAAGTATATATCGTGATTTTCAAGGCAAAACCACGTAACTCAAAATTTTGATTTTTTGTTTTTTTGTTTTGAGAAATCATTTTTTTGGATTTTGACACATATTTAAAAGGTCTTTGGAACGAATTATCATTTATTTTGCTCGTGATAATGGAGTATTCCAAAAGTCACTAAAAAATCCTATCTAAACAATGAGTAAGAACTCCAATACAGTTATTCCTTCCTTCTGTAAAATGTCGAAAAATGGTGGTTTCGCCATGGAAGCGACGATATATAATGCTTTTGTCTGATGGATCTTACATTCGCATAACTCTACGTAAATTTAAATATCTTCTACACGCATTACAATAAGCAGAGTCATTCGACACGGTTACAGAAAGTGTCCAGAAAGTGTTGTAAAGCGTCGGCAATCACGTCGGTCGCCTTGTCACCACCGTACGACAGGAACGTTTGTACCGTCTTGTCTTTGTCTGCTTCTGAAAATTCCGAAATATCAGCGTGTTCTTCCATCATGACCCGCACGAAGAACGACACGTGAACCAACCCGTAGACGCCGTACTCGCGCATCTCGGCGTCCAGCTGCGACCGGTCCGGCACCCGGACGACGTCGGCTACGTCCGATACGGCCGCAGCCAGAGACGCGCAATACGTGTCCAGCAGTTCGTCCCAGCGCTCGTCCCGGATACGGCGGTCCGTGTTCATGTAGAGGAAGAACGACAGGTCGAGCGCCGGCGACCCGTACCGCACGGTGGCCAAGTCGAACGGCAGCGCGTCGACGGGCCGACCGTCGTCGTCATACCGGAACAGCAAGTTATTCCGGTTGAAGTCCCCGTGGCACAGGATGGCCAACGGTTCGTGGGGTTTCATCACCCTGTTCAATGTTCCGTTCATGTCGTTCATGAATTTCTCTCGGAAATGGCAAGTTCGACTATCGTCGTCATCCACACCGCGACGTTGTGCCAGCCTGTTCAGGGCCGCTGAAAGCAGTTTACTGACGGAATGTCCACCGCCACACATAAACCAATCTCCGTCGTTGCGCAAATGAGTTTCTTGAACGTCGGCTATTATCTTGGCGAACCTTTCCGGATCCTTGTGCTTGGCCCTGTACGATAAACTGTGAAACCTGCAACATACACATTGCGCATACACACAAAACGGTATAGTTTGTATTGTTTACAATAAGATATTTGTAGAATGGTTTTTTTTTTTTCATTTATTTTCATTTATTTTTTAACGGTAATAAACCGTTTTTGTAGAATAACGCGCTGATTCGTGCAACGATTGTGCGGATAGTAGACTATTACTAACCCGGTAACCAGTTGTACGCACACTGTTAACTAGATTATTTCCGTGGTCATTTAAATACGGGGTTCTACGTGGCCGTTTATCTAACTACAATGTTACTACTATGAACAGTGTTTTCAGCGACACTGTCGACAGCAGATAGGATAGTCGTATAATGGTCAATTATAAACGTAAGGGCGGCTTACTTTGCCAGTGTCTTCAGCGCCACAATCGTGTGCTCGAGATTCAAATGCAACCGTTGTTCCGACAGTACGTACCCTCGGAGACACGCGTTTTCCAAGACGACCATGTCCTTAAACGCGAAATTCGTGTCGTAATTGTTTCGGCCGTAAATGTAACGGGAGAGTGTCGGCACATGGTGTGTCAATGCACAGGTCCGAAAGAACGGCATTATCCGTTCGTAGAACAAAATTTCGTTATGGAACTGACTGTAAGCCCTGATAAGGTTTTCGATCCCGGGACTCCGTTTTTTGATTTTGAACACCACATGATGGCTGTGATGGTTACCTCCGCGGTCCCGAATGGTCACCGTGGAGAAATACACCGTGGTCGCGTACTGATCCTGCCCCGTGTACCGACTATCCGGTTCGATCGACATAATTTCGGAGCCCGGACCAAACGCACCAGCATCAATCATATCTGCGACGGCCACATCCATCGACCAAACCGCCTCGGGCACCGTCGTCATCGTTTCCGGACAGTTGGTGTTGTTTCAATCAGAAAAATGACTACAGAATAATCCTCAGCGACTTAGTTGATGTCAAAACACTATTATTTGATATGAAAATATTAAACTTGAAACTTAATTTGCTTTCTGGCAGACGATAATTTACTGATGTGGTTTTCGCGTCGTTTTCTCTTGCTATGCGATCAGATATCTACTTACGCTAAACTAGCTATTTGAAACTAATTAAAAACTTTGAATCAATACAATATATCACGTTCATGATTTATATAGTGTAATGTTTACTGTCAAACACGTTATCAGCAGTGGTATTAGCTATCCGACCGACTGTCAAGGAAAAATTACTCGAAAACCACTTAAGTGCGTTACTGAGCGTCTAAAGGTGAATATTGTTTAGAGAGGTTACAACGATTAGTAAATGTGATGATATATTTGTACTCCCTGTACGACGCTCCGTTGTTAGGTTATGGCACTCTACTTTCAAGACCATGTGCTGTTATGTCTTTTCCGTTTATTAAATATAAGTTATGTATTAATTTGTATTTAAATATATGTAGTTTTTTTATTATATCCTTCTATTCAAGTTCAATATAAAGAGCATTAATTAAAAAAATTTATTTAAATTTATTTGTGCAAATTTTATTTTAAAACTAAAGGTTTTTGAAACTAAATAAAACAATTTAAATTTATTTTCATAGGTGAACTGATACGATTTTGAAGTTATTTTAAAAATATTGAAAATTTGGTAGGTACCTAACTTAAAAAATTAATTTAGTAAATACAGAAACCAACCCTCATTAATATTTTTATTTTTTATTAGTATAATATTATATACAATATAACCTTCAAACATTTCTATTCTTGGAAACATGGAAAACGAGTACGACCAGAACAGCATTTCATGCTACAGTGTCTTTTATTATCTATGAAAAGTATATATAATATTCAATGACACAATATTATTATAAATTAAATATTTCAGTAGAATGATCAAAAATTGCCATGTTAAATTATTAAAATGTACTCATTTTTTTTTTACTTTTTTAAAATTTTTATGTGCTCCAAAAATGTAAGGACTCGGGACAAGTACCCTTAACGCTCCTCGTTTCTTAAACTGAAATAACGCTAACCTTCGAGAAACTTTGACGAAACCTGCCGAGGAAAAAAGGATTGCCGGTGTGTTTGGCCCGGTGTCAAACGATTCCGATACCGTATAAAATATTTAATGTATTGATAAACTATTAAAAAATTCAAAGAAAACTATATTCTGAAGAGTGAAGACGTTGCGTTTATCCTATAATTTCAATTATTATTACAAATATAACGTTCAATACGTCGTTTAGAAACACAAAGAATTATAGTCATTTAATTACCGTGACAAATAAAAAAATCGAACAATATAAATTTGGAAATACTTACCTCCTGTGTGCATTTTTACTAAGAACTTATTCTAATAAGTATAACACGGGAAATTCTCATCTCCCAGTCTGTTGCATTTGTGGACGTTTAACGAGCACTTATCAAAACGCAGGATACATTTACCAAGAGGAGGTAAGAATATAGTAATGCATGGTATAGTATATTTTTACATGTACATTTTTTCCGGAACAATTGAATGAAAATCGTTTAATTTAGAATATTCAGCGTCTAAAATTGTCTAAAAGTGACAATTTTAAAACCTTATAGAATTTCTCATAATGTGCACACTTATTTGTTGAGGTCTATAATGATAGTTTATGATGAGATATGGTCTGCCGGTCTAAATATTATTATTGGCAAACTTTAAGCATTATAATTGGATTCGTGGGTGTTTTTTTTTTTTTTTTTGACGAACTCACTTTAGTCGGTCACATGCTATGTTTTTATTGTAGTGTCATATCTTTGTTTTGTATACATATAATTTATGCCAAGATATGGGAGATATACAATACCTTATGTGATGAAAAACCATAATTATTATTAATTATTAATTTCAAAAAAAAGAGTCCATTATGGAAACGGATGTGTTTTTGTTGTAGGTAGGAAGTTGATAAGGTAAGATGCATATCGTTGTTTAATTTATATTTGTAAGCTACGATAAATCATTACTAACGAAATACAATTCTGAGCGAATTTCGGTAATACGCGTTTTTAAATTCCTTAATTTTTACGATTTTCGTCAAAATTTGGCCTTTAAACGGTGATACAAAAAAAAACTACTTTATTGTACTTTTTTTCATTGAGTGCAACTTATAAATAATAACCTACGTGTTAAATTGTCAAGCATTTCTGTATGATGAAACAATTTCATCCACTTACAAAACAAATAAAAACTCGAAAATGTCAAATGCCTATAAATAGCTCAAACAATTTTTTAGAAATTAAACTACACATAAAAAATGTCAATATAAGTATTCTGTGAACAAATCAGATCTATATCATTATTTTTAACATGATCACAACAAATTATACAACATCGATTTTGTCGAAAACTGTTTTCTGTATATATTCACTTATCTGCTGGTATTACAAACATAACACAACATTACGAAACCACTCTAAAAAACCTTACTTGGAGTAGCTTAATTTTTGTTAGACAATTCTTTGAATTTGTTAGATAAGAGTTTCAGCAATGTTCTTAGTTAAATATATAGTATCTTATACACAGTCAGCGCTACAATAATATAAAAATAAAAATAAGTGATTTGTAGTTTTTTAGTGTTTCTATTATTCTTGCTACTTCTTCTTGTTCGGGTTCTCGGATATCAGGTTCTGCAATATGGTACATTATTTCATCATTTGTGCTATCTTGTTTGTTTAATAGTATTTCGAAATATTTTTTAAATAACTCTACTAATTCTCCTTTATCCGTAACTAATTCTCCATTCTCATTTAATAGCATTTTTACTTGCGGTTTGAACCCTTCTTTAAATTGATTACTGTTTTCAAAGAATTTTTTGGCGTTTTTTATGTTTTCGTTTATTTCTGAAATTTTTGCTTTCATATCAATTTTTTTTTTCTTCTTAGTATTTTGTGGGTTTTCCTTCTCTAATTTTCATATCCCATTTTATTTTCATCTCATGGAGTTTATAGCACCTTATTATTGATTTCGTTTCGTTTTTTTATTGCTTCTTGACACTTATCATTGAACCATCGTCTTCTGTCTAGTTTTGGTACATTTCTTATAACAGTTGCAGCGCAGTCTGTTATGATTTGTTTTATTCGGTTCCATTGATATTCTGTCCCCTCTATCATATTCTTTTTTTTATTTATTTTTCGATCTCGTTCTGTGTTAATTATGTCTATTTGGTTTTGGTTATTCCATATGAAGATATCCATATGATCTTGTGTATATTCTTACGGGAATAATAAATACTATTGATTACTAATTTATTTTGCATGTTAATTAATCGTGTTCCGTTGTCGTTACTAATTTTATGCAGACTGTTTCTATCAATTGTCGGCCTATACATAGTTTTCTGTCCAATTTCGTCATTTAAATATCCTAAAAATATTGGTATACTGTGTTACAGAAGACGGGTGGGTCACTGGAAATCCAACTCGTTAAATTAAACTGTGTAAAATGTGAAACGGAATAAACGTTGTACTTAATCGGTCAAGTGAGTTTAATATGTGCAACCATAAAGCGGTTTCGGTAACACACGCGATGGAAACTTACTGATGCGGTGTAAAACATTCGGTCTCATCATAATGTAGGCGCATGCGTTCAAATTACACGGATCACCGCCTTTGAGTTTTGCGTTTATTCTGTACGGGCCTAGGTTAAATAATAATATTACTGCAGTTGACGTTTTATCGAGATTTTTCGAAACAAATTTATCTAAAATAATAATAATTGTAATTATTTCCGTTCACCTATTGAAATTGTATTATCTTAAATATAGACAAAATAAAAAGTATAGGTTCTTAAAATATTTTACTGGTGAGAACATTATCAGATGCCACATGAGTACACTACAAACAAAGTTTACACGAATAACGTTTTCCGATAAAAGTGCTAATGTCTTGATTTTTTTCAGTATTTTTTAAATAGGATTTTCAAATTTTCAACACATTACATATTCTCTTAGGGCATTATGATTTTATTTAATATTGTCATAGTTAATTGCTTATTCAAAAAAACAAAATAATTTAAATATTCTTTTTTTAAAGTGATTTCACACTATTTTTATAACTTGCAGTAGCAAATTATAGCGGTAATCGAAAATGGACCAACTTTACGCAATCCCTCAAACCCCCGAAAGTCCCAACCAGTGATAAAACATTCTCTGTAGTTTGCAAGAGTTTGCAAGTCCATTTTCGGAATATGCAAGTAGGTTTCCAGTCTAGGGCTAGCTTTCAAAATTATATACATGATCCCTCCTCAACTATATCCCAGAAAATCCACTAGTAAGTTATCTCACCGACTAGAAATAATTATGACTAGTTTTAGAATACTAATAAACACCAGCGAGCATATTAATACTAAATACAGAAATATTAGTTAATGTGTTAATGGTATTGTACATACCGGGTGATCCATTTCAGTGGACACACTCATTATCTCGGAAATTATTAACTTGTTTTGAAATTTGTTTTCTAGAGCATTTAAGAAACAAGCACCTGGACAATTTTATATTCGTGTAACTTTTGTCACCCTTATTTTTGTGAGTGAAACCACCACATACTTTTGATTTTCAAAGAGTAACCTATAATAAAGAATCCATAAATATATGGAGTATTAGTTAAAATAAATTATGGTGTTGACATTTTTGATTTCCCTCGATTCTTTGTCAAGATATTCCAATATTAAGTTTTGGTTGGAGAAAAGTAGTAGAGCGTATTATTAACGCGCCACACGCCGCACCGCCACGCAAATGATACTCCACCACTCTCCTTCAAACCAAACCTAAAAATGGAATACCTCGTAAGAAACAAAAAATGTCAACACTCAAATTTGTTTCAACTGATACTCCGTCTATTTATGGAGTTTTTAATATAGGTTGAAAATCAAAGGTACATAGTGGTTTTACTCCCGAAAATAAGGGCGATAAAAGTTACACGAATATAAAATTGTCCAGCTGCTTGTTTCTTAAATGTCCTAGGAAACATATTCCGGAAAAAGTTAATACACTCCGATAATAATGAGTGTACCTACATAAATGGATCGCCTGGTGTTATGCAACATTTGACAATATTGACAATATTGCACCACACCGTATGTTATAACAACGCGATACACGATTATACATTTAACGTGTTGCAATGTTTATTCTGTCAAGTGTTTATCGTTAATAAAACATTCACCCGTGCAATACCCGCGTGTAATGTTGAACTGTATTTATTTATGAAAATTAAAATACATTTTTACCAGATAAAAAAACCGCGCGAGTCGGCGAGATAAGATTGCACGGCGTGCCCGTAATACGGTAATACCGTAATATTCGTACGGAGGTGCACCGGCAAAACCGTCCGAAAATACAAATGTTATCCGTACCGATTTTGTAATTCATCTGCGGGGATGTGGTTATTGCAATGCGACCGTGACGCGCGGTTCCGCGCCGTATTCGGATCGCGTGCGTTTTCGCCGTCCGTGTATATTGCACTCTAGTTGTTGCGATTGCGTACGGCGATCCGGGTTGGAAGTAGGATAAAGATAGTGTCAAGCGCGCATGACGACGCTGATCGGCCGACACCAGGTATAATAACGGCGAAACGCACGCGAACACGGTTCGTTAATCTGCGACGCGTTGTAATCGGTGTCGAGCAACTACGCGGATTGACGTGGTTTCCCGACCCACTTTTTAGCCGCGAGCACCGCGCCAGTGCGACCACGGCCGTCCGAACGCGACCAGGAACGTGATCGGCGTCATGTTGCCGTGAAACCGATTCGGCGATCGCCGCACCGGCCGGGGATCCCGCGGAAGTGACCGGGACGATGGCGGAACCGGACGGCTGGTCGATTGACCGGGCAATGGCGGAAATGACCGTTGCCGGGGTGTTCGGCCCGGGTCTGCGATACGTGTCGTTTGAACGGGATCATTATTTCGCGTCCACGCTGCTGTTCGGCACGCTGACGGTGACCGCCGGTGACGACAGCGATGACGCCGGCGGCGAAGGGCACCGCCGACAGCGTCAGCTAGCCATCAAGTTCAAACACCGAGTGCCCGAGATGCGGGCCATGTGCAACAACGACTTGCAGTTTCACAACGAGATCCTGTTCTTCGAGAGGATCGCACCGTTTTTGATGGCCTGCGCGCGGTCGACCCGCGATCACGAATGCAAGCATAACCGCAGCCGCGTGACGCCGCTGCTCCCCCGGTATTTTTACGGCCGAAACGATTGCGGCGATCGCGCGTCGCAAGACATGGTCGTCCTGGAGAGCGTGTGCCTACACGAGTATCGGTTGTCCGACCAACTGGTGTACTTGGATTTCGACCACTTGGCCGTAGCGCTCAGGACGTTGGCAAAGTGAGTGAAAGCAGTAGGCAGGTGCATACGCCGAAAACAAATTTGATCGGAAGGGGTTCTTAAAAATGTACGACCGACATTTAACAATATTTTTAAACAAATATTAAATTTAAAGAAGTAAATTACACAACTATTAATTTTCGGGGGATGAACCCCCTACATTCCCACCTGTATACGTGTAACTGTTATATTACTAGGGTATGTCACTTATGGAAAATATTCAATATGTGATTTTTAGTTTAGAGTTTTTTTTTCAAAATTCTTCTATTCTTCTATTTAGATTTGTGTTTATACAGTCTATACTAATAATTTTGTTGTTATAACTCTCAGATTTCACGGGCTGTCGTACAGAGCCAAGCACGACGATCCGGTGAAATTCGCGGAAACGATTGCCGGCGTCAAAGAAACACAATGGGACGCCGACGGACAGTGGTATGTCCGCGGTGACGGTCTCGGGAAACTTCTGGAGACAGCACTGGACCGGCTGGCGGAACGTCACGGCGACGGTATGGCGGCTCGCCGGTTTCGGACCGAACTGTTGGGAGACGCGAGACGGACGTTGCGGCACGTGATGGAGCCCGTAGAACCGTCGGCCGTACTGTGCCACGGCGACTTCAACTGGAACAACTTGTTGTTCCGGTACGACAGCGGCGGCCGGCCCGTGGACGTGATGCTGGTCGAAATGTCCAACGTCCGGTACGGATCGCCCGCGCTCGACTTGTCATTCTTCCTGTACATGAACACGGACCGCCGGCTCCGGGACGCCCGTTGGGACGAGCTACTGGACGCGTACTGTGCCGCGCTGTCCTCGGCCGTGTCGGACTCGGCGGGCGCCGTGTGGGTGCCCGATCGCGCTCGGCTAGACGAAGAAATGCGCGAGCACTCGTTCTACGGCCTGGCGCACGTGTCGTTTTCGGTGCGGCTGATGGCCGAAGAACATCGACAGGTCGATCCCGCCGAGTTCATAAACGTGGACGACGACGAGGCCCTGTGCTTGCTGTTGGCGTTCGGTGGCGACAGGGCCACCGACACGTTGGCCGACGCCGTCCAACACTTCTTAGATATCAGTTACAACAGAACGATGTCTTCACTTGAATAATTCTAGTCACGAAGTCACTTCGCGGACGACACCACACCGTATATTTACACAGGGTGATAAATCCTCGATAAGACATTTATTATTTCGGAAATTATTCACTTTTTCCGGATTTTTTTTCTTTTTTTTAATAATTTAAGAATCGGCCGGCACTAAAATGATACCCACATTACTTTAAATTTTTGGCAAAACCAAAATCGGTTGTAAAAACGTTGACGAAATAGTGTCTATATTGTACACTATAACTATACTAGGTAATTCAATAAAACGTGAGCTGTGCATTTTGTTTAGTTTACCAGCATAATACTGTTATGATATTAAATAGTATTATATTCCGAATTTGTAAAATTAAAAAAAAAACAACATCAACAAGCATTAATGCAATTACACTTAAACCTATACAGATTCATTTTTTTTTTTTTTAATGTGAACCAGTAATTATTTCAAAGAATTTTAAGTGCATTTGATTTCTGTTTTTTTTTTTTTCAATCACTGTGGAATAGTTATAAATTTATCATTTAAAATTAGAAAAATAGATACGTGAATTTATTACCCTCATCTACTCTTCCGTTCTAAACTTTAAACGGTTATAACCCATAAACGGTAAATCTGATATTAGTGTTACGCATATTAAAATGTCTAGAAAAATATTCACTATTTGAACCTGTGTTCAAGAAGGGGGGAGGGGTTTCGGTTTGAAAAACAAAAGCACATATTTATTTAAGGTATACGAGGTGGGGATACAAGATTAAAAATGGTTTTAAATGAAACCTCAAACGATTCCACAATGATTAAATAAAAACTGAAATCAAATTCATTTTAAAATCCTCGGAGAAAATTGCTGGTTCGTGATCAAAAAAATGTGTATGCCTCTTGAAATATATTTCTAAGTTAAAAAAAAGTGCGATATGTTTAAAAGATTTTTTTTGTGTTTGAATACTTATAATTATAATATAATAAGTAAACTTTCTAAATAATTTAACACGTCTTAAACGATTTTTAAATTTTTTTTTAATACGCTATACGTAATATTCTTTTTAATGAATATAAAAAAAAAATACAAATATAAAAAAAAAAAAAACTGACATACTTTTCACGATAGGTGGACCACTGTTGTAGGTGGGAAGTTGAAAATATAGGATAAAGAGAACAATTTAGTGTATTTTCGTATGCAACGATTTATAAATGCTAATGAAAAAAAATTTTTGAGTGGAGTTCGGTTATACATGTATAAAAGGCCATAATATTTAAAAATTTCATCAAAATTTGATATTAAAATTCTTATAAAAAAAAAAAAAAAGACGACCTAAGATAATGGAGACGGGTGAAGCTACTGTTATAAGTAATGTGATGTATACTTGTAAGCAACAATGAACCATTGCTTACGAAAAAAACGGTTTCAGTTGATAGTTATACTTTTTCAACAATATAAATGTCATTTTATAGTGAAACAATTGAATAGGCTTTATGTATTTTCTTTAATAATATTTGTTTAATGTTGTACCGATTTTCCCAGTTTTCCTACGGTTTTCCTAGTTTTCCCCTCATAAGTACCGTTTCAGGAAAATTTTTTTTTTTCAGAAAACATGCTACGCTCGATACTTCGGAGCGACATTTCCGGTAGAATTTTTGTACACAATATAAAAAATATATAAAATAATAAATAAATAAATAAATAATAAATATATAAAAAAAAATAAGCATTGCCGCACCAATGCTCTCCTCACACCGTCCGGGATTTAAAAATTTCGCGAACGAATATTAAAGTGTACTGTTGATAAATCGACGCGCGCACACGTTCGCCACTACAAATTTATTTTACATTATCGTTTCGGCGCGAGAACATTGCGATTTTCTTACGTAGTTAACTGCAAACCGACGCGGACAATTATTACGAAACGGCGCACTCGGACTGGGCGTACCCGCCTACTGTAATTACCGTATTCGTTTTACGGAATTCGCGGCATACCGCGGAAACGCTGTCGGTGACGGACGCGGTGATTGATCGTTACTATCGTAGTTCAGTGTAATTATTCGTAATGACACGATGGATTTCCGAACAAATTATCGTAAATCCGCAGAGGCCGCGCGCGTGTCGCGGCGATACTCGATCGCGGGCAAAATCAAATGCGTACGTTTCAATGCGGCGGTACCGTGTTATTACTGTTTTAATAACCAGTAGCGGTCCGAACGCGTAACCGACGTCTTGCCGGTACGCGTACGCTACGGTTACGGGCGCGGTAGTTTTCGAAACTGATAAATCGCGTTCCGCGCGGCGAAAACATACGCCCCGGAGTAGACGTTTCGGTGCATACGCCCCGGAGTAGACGTTTCGGTGCATACGCCCCGGAGTAGACGTTTCGGTGTAAACTGCCCTAGCGGACGCTCGTCCGTGAGCGTCTCTCCGGTGTTTATTTATGTTCGTTTTTTCACAAATGGAATGACGCGGGCCCCCGCCGGGCACTGGCCGCCGCACGGCGTGCGCGTGCGGGGGCCCGCGACGACCCGTCGACAAATGTCCGTCCCAATCGGACTCGCTGTTTACATCAAACGAACAACACGGTATTAAAACACTGCGGATTATACCAAATTATATCAATACTGAATCGCGGGATAGACATTAATATTTTAATCAAAAACCAAAACTGTGACGGTGTTTTTATTGAGTTGACTGTGTTTTATATTTGAGCATAGGATCGGTAAAGCCCCGTGAATTTAGATTGTTCTGAGTGTAGCGCGGGATGGTATTGGTTTTACTAAAATGTTTATTTTTTGTTTTTTTTTTTATCCTGCGTACAAAATGTCTACCGGAAATCTTGCTCAGATATACGCGCGGGGCGTCATTTCTGGACGGAAATAATGTTCACACGGTGCTTTTGGGAGGTCTATTTTTGATTTTCCAACTGGGTGTTTGAACGTCCGATAGCGCATCGATTGCGTTCTACAAAATCGAAATAACAATGTTTTCGATTATTTTGCACGCGACAAAAAAAAAAAATGTATATATCATTAATGCTACATTCGGAACTGATAAAACGGAAACATTGTGATTCGATGTTCAACGCGTTCGCGTTACACGACACGTCGAACGTTACAAACTTTTGTATGCGAAAACCGGTCGTATCGCCAAGACCCGATTCTATTAAATTCATGATAATAATAAATACTAAACAACCGTAACGTGCGCCCAACGTTTCGAAAATGTTCATCCAAAAATGTAGGCCCGACAACCGTGTGATCGTAACACTTTGGCCGGAAAACAAAAAAAAAAAAAAATCATAATCAGCGCGCCCGGAACTCGTCTAACCTCAACCGACCGTCACCCTGTTCACCGATCGGCCGCTATTTAATATTACCGTATTGAAAATAACGGCGGAACACAAAAATAACGTAGTCGGCGCAACAACACGAGCGGCCAGTCGATTAAATCCGCCGAAACCCTACCGTCTACCTGTAGACCCGTGCGATAACCTTGCGTTCAAAATCCGTGTACGGAACGTCATCAAAACGGCCTTCGGACCTAATAACCGTGGCTAACCGCGATTAGTTCGTTTCCGGACGGTCTCCGCACGAATAACCATTTGCGCGCACGCGACTTCAGTGCATCGCGGGCCTTATGAAAGCGTATATAACACGACACGCGCGTGTTGTTTCGAGAGTATTTAAGCGTCTTTTTTCAAATTTTTTTTTCCCCGACATTAGGAAATCGGCCGTCCAAAGACTTCATGTAGAGTACCGTCCGAATCGTTTTCATTCGCAACGGAAACAACGCGCGGCGGCCGGGAACCGATGGCGGTGACGACGGACTGGTCGATGGACCGGGCGGTCGCGGAAATGATCGACGCCGGTGCGTTCGGCTCGGGTTCCGAATTCGTGGCTCTGGAACCGGACAGCCAGCGTACCGGACAGGACCAGTACGCGTCCACGGTGTATTTCGGGACGGCGATCGTCCGGGACCGCGACCGCGACCGGCACAGCCATCAGCTGGTGTTCAAGCTCAAGCACCGGGATCCCGGGCTCCGGGATTTGTACTGCGCCGACTGGCAGTTTCACAACGAGATACTGTTTTACGAGCGGATATCGCCGTTCTTCGAGGGCTACGCGCCGACGGCGGACCACGTGCCGCCGCTGGCCCGTTACTATTACGGGCGCAACGATTGCGGCGACCGCGTGCTCGGCGACATGGTCGTCTTGGAAAACGCGGGTACCCGGGGATACCGACTGTCCGAACAGCGGTTGTACTTGGACCGTGACCACATAGTCGTGGCGCTGAGGACGCTGGCCAAGTGAGTCGCTATTCGCGTCAATGATCCGAAAATTACACGCGTAAATTTGCAAATTTCCCCTATGCGTAAATACACGTAATAGAGAAAAATGTATAAAACCAGATTCGTTCGATTTATGACGTCGAAAATAATTTGTACATTTTTTTTTTTTTTTTTTTTTGTCTTTTTTCGGTGGCCTTTTGATATTCGAATGGGAACGTATGTTAAACATTTCGTAAATAGTTGCAGTATTATCTTAAATAAATTTTCGTGCTGAAATTTTTACAGTAGAGCAGTGGAACACGATGCACTCGTGCGTTGGCACGGCACGGCCGTCTAAATAGATCAAAAGACAATCGAAAAAATATGTATGAATTATTTGAAAATGTGTATAAATTGAAAAACGTTTATATCGCGCGTTTTTCTGTACGTTGTGTGTTTTAAAACAGAAAACCGCCGTAGTATAAAATTCCGATTACATACTATTGCATACCACGTACACCGTATATGGATTTATTGATAGATTGATTACATCATAATAAACGGAATTATAGGAAATAATAAGTCGTTATCTGAAGTCTTAATCAGTAATCATTTAGCATGTGCATTTTTCGCCCGCGTGATATCTCGGGAATTACGTTGAAATTTGAAAGCGACTGTCGCCACTATCGAAAATAGTAAATATTCGTAAATATTAATTGTTCGTTAATTATTTACGGTATTGTACATAATTTACCATCTATACAGCCGCCGGTGGGGCTGTGTCTAGGTTATTGGGAGTAATGAGTACCATTATAAACTACAGTTTTGCTACTCCGCACACGCTTTTTGTAGACCAGTGTTGACGTATTATATTATTATATGTTAAAACGGACAGGGCTAATGGTCACTGCTATGAATTGCGCATGAATATAGCCACATATGATCTACTCAGTTATGTGCTTTAGCCAATAGGCGTACACGTGCTGTTGTCCGTGTAACATTTTAAAATTTATCACTTTAGGATTTCGCTCTTGATTTACATAAATTTACATAAATCTACATAAATTCTTAGCGCATTACAGCTCGGAAAACAGGCCAAAACGGCTCTAATATACGCACACTGTTTTCTGGAACGAACATTTTATTTGTCTAATCAATTACCACGGTAATTATGTTTCGTACACCAAATTGTTCGGGCGTTTCAATGCAATGTAATAAGGAAAATACTGTAAAATTCAGTGTACACTTTCGCGGGTATACACGTATACAATGTATTCGGCAAGTAGGTAGTAACGAATTAATAATATAAATTGTCAGTGCTACACCCGAAAATTTTTTTCCCGTTTACGGTGCTGTTACGCTAATAATATAGTCGGCACAAAAGTGATTTGTTTTGAATTAAGTATGCACTCGTACGAGAATGTTTACAAATAAAATACATAAGTAATAAGTTATTTGTTCTCGTTATTTATTTTATGCACTGACCGGATTTTTATCTGTCTAACGTGGCGGTACCGAACGTTTTATATCGCAATGTTACCGGGTGAACAGCCCTTAACGGTTAACTATCGTCGGGTACTGCCGGGTCTCATATCGCCGGTAAATCGCCGGTAACGTCTAATCGTACGTTTTGTATGCAGACACGCGACTAGACGTTTCTATAAAAATTAAATAAAAAGTACCGATGTAACTCAAGTCCGAAGCGTTAACGGTGTAAACTAATTTCGTATTGTGCGTGCGTTCGCAGGTTTCACGGGCTGTCGTACAGGGCCAATCACGAGAATCCGGTGAAATTCGCCGAGATGATTGCCGACGTCAAAGAAACTCAGTTGCGCGGGGACGATGACGATTGGATGTTGCCGGGTTTCAGTTACATTGCCAGTAGACTGTTATCGGTGGCCCTGGATAGGGTGACGGAACGTCGCGTTGCCGGCGGCGACGACGACGACGACGTCAACCGAATACGCCGTTTTCGGACGAAATTCTTGGACGAAATAACGCGGACACTGCGCCGGTTGCTGAGACCGGTCGAACAGTCACTAGCGACCCTGTGCCACGGCGACTTCAACCGGAATAACTTGCTGTTCCGGTATGACGACGACGGTCGGCCCGTCGACGCGCTGCCGTTCGACTTGGCCACCGTGCGGTACGGGTCGCCGGCGCTCGACCTGTCGTTCTTCCTCTACATGAACACGGACCGCCGTATCCGGGACGAGCGCTGGGACGAACTGCTGGACACGTATTGCGCGTCTCTGGCTGCGGCCGTATCGGACGTAGCCGACGTCGTCCGGGTGCCGGACCGGCCGCAGCTGGACGCCGAGATGCGCGAGTACGGCGTCTACGGGTTGGTTCACGTGTCGTATTTCGTGCGGGTCATGATGGCGGAGAACCTCGTGGTAGATCCCTCGTCGTTCGTCGAGTCGGATATCGATACGTCATTCGAAATACTGATGTCGTACGGTGGCGACAAGGCGACCGATCTGGTCGCCGACGCTGTCCAACACTATCTGGACACTTACGGTAGCTGTACCGAATGATTCGTTTGTATTTAATTTATACGGACACGTTGTTAAGTTTTATGGAGATCGATGAACAGAACAATTGAAGGACTCACTGCAACAACAAGACGATTACAATATAACTGTTCGGTAGTTTTAAGCGACGAAACAATACATAAATAACGAATCGTTAGTGTTGTAGAAATAATGCGAATTCGTCTAATAGATACGGAAAAAAATAGTGATAAGGACAAATGATAAGTCCCACGGATAGATGATTTTGTTTTGTTTTTGTTTTTCCGGACTCGTTTTGTTGTCGCACTGAACCCTTCAATTTGTGAGATGTAAATGTTTACACATTATAATTAGCATATTTGTTTGTATTTAAACTGGTTTCTAAACGAACTTAATTTAAGCATATTGGCGATCGTTCCGAGGTCCCGTTTTTTAATTTGGAGGGTATTTAATCTTCAATCTCTTTTCACTGTCACGGTATTAAATTGTATCATTTTAGTTACGGGCGTATTAATATAATCACATACGATTTACGATTAAATGAAAATGCGATTATTTTAATAAACAGCTAGTTTACAACCTTTGTGTCAGTGCCTATTACATCTTTCTTGTTTACTTTTGGTTTTAATGTCAAATAAAGTGATTATTATTATTAGTATCTGTATATATTATCGGAATGGTTAGAAATGTGTAATTTTTATTAGGTGTTCTATTTATTGCAATATGTTTAAAAATTGCAATAAATTCACGTAAATAATATAAATTCTTCTTTCAGATCCTTTGTATTTGAATAATAACGAAGCCCGATAGAAATGCATAGAACTTATAATATATTGTTAACACCTATTAGGGATAAGAAAAAAAAAATCTCGTGTAAATTCAGTTATGTATAACAAATAAACACTCTTTTATCTCTAAATACTTATTATAGTTTTAACGTTAGGTATTAGAAGGTGATACGAATATAATAAACCATATTTATAAAATACAGAAGTTATAAAAGAAGTCTTCTAGTCTAGACGGGTTTTTTTTTTTTAATGTACTCTAAAGGTACTTTACAGTGTACTTAAACAAGATAACGTTATTGTTAAATTAAACTCGTGGCATTCGTGCATTTTTAATTATGAAACAAGATATAAATATAATATTGATTGTAATTACACACTTTATGGCAGTATAGTTAGACGATGTTATTTTACTTTTTGTAATAGTTTTAGTTTATTATAGTATTGTCTTGTAACATTGACACGTCCGAAGATTGAAGGTATCCATTCTTGGCAAAATAAATAGTCCAATATCTTGTGCTGCATGACGGTTTTAAAGTGATTTACGATAACATATTTGGTCAGAAATATTCTGGCTTTAGACTTTTGTGTTATTAAAAAAAAAAAAAAGATACGAATAATAGGTTAAAAATTTAATAATTTAAAACGTGTTTCCGCAAAGCCGTATCTTTAGTTTAAGATTGTTCCTAACATATTCATTTTTTTTTTCAAATCATTCTTATCATTATCAAATGAAGGATTTCTTAAATATAACATGAAAATGAAGCAATCGATGGTATAAAAAATTTAGTAATTAATGTAAAAAATGTTTGGAGTTGGTTAGGGTTAGCTAGAAGGCTGTTGGCGAGCGTTGTAACATCCAAGATTTTTTACGCGACACCAACTTGGGCTAAAAATTAATCAGCAAATAAAGGTTGTCTAGTGTAGTAACACCCGACGATGTGGAGTACCCAGTTTTCGACTGCAATGCCTGGTTGAACTGGAGACGTGCGGTGAGCTTATAAATTGGTGTTGATGTTCTGCAGCCAAGCAATTATGTCACGCTGGTGCTGCAATCTAGGACGAACTGGGACGTTATTGCAAATTTGATATTCAGAACCACGAGGACAAGGGAAGAAGAACAAAGGGGGAATCAACGGCTACTCAGTCTCTAGTTGAAGAATGAAGTCGATCGACTTCTGGAGGACTTTTAGAACGTGACGTTTAGGACGCGGGTGATTGTCGGTCTGAGAAAAGCATCCTTATCTTGATTAAAAAACTCGATAAGCAGACCTTATGAATACTATTGACTACAATTAAATGTAGATTTTTGAACAACGTAAAACATTTTTTACGAACATAAATATTACCTAAAGGATGTCACAATGGGCCTATTACATTTATCGGCGCAAACGATTCGCCATCCTTTTTAATCTATATTTGGATATACTTAATTATAGGTTTTTTTATGTTTCTTATGTTTTTGAGTTTATTGGTAAAATAAATTCGTGCCATAAATATTTTAAATATCGCTACCGAGTGTTTTCAAAAAAATTGTATACTACATCATTATTACTATTCTCTTTATAACTGTATTATTTGTTTTGAACCGATCAGGCTAAAAAACTAAAATAATATCATAGTTGTCAGTTTTAAATATATCCGTTAGAGATACTATAAACATTTAATACGTTCGCCTTTTTTGTTGTCATCCTAAGAACTTTTTTATTTTCAGTAAATTTACCGTTGTTCCAGAGACCAGCAATTTTAATATCCTTTTTATATAAATGGCTCTTAATAGACAACAATAACAGTTAGTAGTACATTGCATTCATAAATTATGATTTTTAGACATATCATTTATAACATTTAAAACGTACCTATAGAGTTATTTCATTAGATGACAATGCGTTTTAAATAACGTTCAATCCGATTCGTATAGTTTCGAAACGGAGCAATGTAACTGTCATCGTTGAGATGATTTATTTACAATTGCACTGCGTAACAATATTTTGGATTTGTACCTGATACTATTAATTATAAACAATGTGTAGGTAAATAATAATATATATTGTATGTCCCGGCGTGTTTGCAAAATATACAAGTATATCCAGACAGTGGCTGTCCGGTGATTGTTGACAGCCGAAATTTATCGGTCAATATTGAAAATGTGTACGGTACCTATCAATACAATAATAATTAAAATATAAAACATGTTGACGTACACAATATTTAGTTAATAATAAATCGACGGCACAGAAAATACGTATATTTTATAAATTAATTTTTTATTTACTGAATAGTTATAATAACGAAACAGCAGACTGTTGTCAACAGCAGTTATAAAACAACAGACAAATAATTGCTATGATACTTTTTCAATTGCATGTTTAAATATTATTTATGAAACACCAATTTATTAACTACTTCTTTTTATCTATTTCTTCTATTTCAAGCCATCTTGCCGTATACTCAATCGGAAACGAGGTTAGAAGACGCTGTGTGTCTTCTATATTCGTTTCTTACCCATATGTTCAAGGGCAGTTATCGACATATTCATCATCGCCTTTGGTTTGGGACGGTCTCCAGGTTTTCTCTCCTCAATTTTTCCCATCATTACCATTAAAACACATTATCTCTCTGTACACGATGACGTGTGCATTCATTTCAGTTGTTGGGAAGATGGAATACCTGTGACCAACGATTAACCGATGATAATGAAAAAAGATTCGGAACGAAGTTGGGTTATTCGTACAGGGAAGAAGAATTTTAAACTTGTCAATTTTTAGGAATAAGAGAAGTTTCCAATTTTAGTTAACCTGTTTAACGGACACTAAATTTATTTATTTTTTTTGAAAATTAGGTAGCTATACATGTTTTAAGCCACTAATGAATAACTCAAGAAAATATTTAGATTTTACTAAAACAAACTAATTAGTGTGCAAAAATTATTTTATGCTGCATTAGGTATTCATAATGAAGAAAAAAAGAACGACTTAGGATAATAAGGATGGGTGCAGCAACTGCTACAGGTAATTTAATGTATACTATAAACCAAATAGCTAACGAAAAAACGATTTCAATTGATATTGATGCTACGTCAACAATATATGTGTCATATTATGGTAAAGTAATTAAATAGGGATTATATATTTTTTTTAATAACGTTTGTTTTATGCATTTATTTTTCCAAACGAAATTGCTTGAAGAATAGCTGTTCGTAGGAAAAGGAGCAAAATGGGAAACTAGTTCCTTTTTTTGTATTAGAAAAAAGAGACAGAAACGAATGCCAACACTGTTAAGAACACGTATTAAAATATTTTTGGAAAGTATTCGGACACAAAAATGTTATAAAGTACTTTATCTTGAATTAATGTGTTCGAATAGTTTGAAAGACTGATTATTGGGCCAACGAATCCGATAATTGGGGAGTAACTAAATAATATTCAGTTAGACAATTATAGAAACAATACGAATAAAATATCGTATTGCATAAAAATATTTAAAAAAGCCCATGCGTTGTGACAGTGTGCGTAGCATGATAACCAGGTCCTTGAAATTTATTTCATCGGATTATACGAATTTCATATATTATTCGATGAGAGGGAGTTACATAGTATTCGATTAGAAAACGCAAAATCAATTAGTCTTCAATCTCATAAGGAAAATAAAACGCGCGCGTTCGTGTCCGAGTGAATTATGGATTCTTTAATATTACAAGAATTGCCGAGAATCGTGGACGACGGTGCTTTCGGAAAAANAAGAATACGAACACAGTTAGCCAGGACCAATACATGTCTGTGGTGTCATTTGGTACTCTCCTTACATCGGACGGATCGAAATATAGCGTTTTGATAAAATGTAAAACCAATGATAAATTTCTACGCGAGAAACTCAAAATCGATACACAATTTCACAACGAAATAATCATGTACGAAAAAATCGTTCCGTTCTTATTAACCTGTCGTAGTTCAATGGTCAGCGGATTGTGTGGTCCGTCAATACCACGGTTTTTTTACGGTCGGAATAGTTTCGATGCGACTGTCGAAAACGATTTAATAATATTGGAAAATGTAAATCCTTCGGGATTCCGCTTGAGCGAAGAACGCCTGTTTCTAGACTATGAACACCTGGTTATCGCATTACAGGCGTTGGCAGTGTAAGTGTATAGGGTGTTATTTTAAGTTTTTTATCAATGTGATATTCTGTCTTTTATAATATCATGGGTTACCGATTATATATATTTATGTCAAAAACGCGTACTTGTACCGGCAATATCATTGTCCTCGATATTTATATTTTGGAGCATCTGACTGTATTTTTGGAATTAAATAAATTAATAACGTTCGAAATTATTGGCCACCCAATGTTGGAATTTGATATCGTGTTCAAACATCTTGTACTCGAAAGTTGCGAGTGTTACGAATTGCACGAGTGTTAGAATGTTTACGGTGTTCATTGAAATCGTTGAGTTCTATATTGACATATCGGGAAAGTCAAGGCCACATATTACTAATGAAAAAATTACAATTTTTTTGTTTGTTTGTACAAAGCTATCTCGTATGTATGATTGAGCAATAAAATGTGTACGGTTGGTCTAGACATAATTTGTTTTCTTTGCCTGTCTAGCGCGTAAATTAGAAACGCAGACAATCAACGACTATTGTACAACACATTATCCATTTTTCTAAAGAAGTATAGAAGTATATTACTTACATATATTTTTTTCGAAAGATTTCTTTTTAATATATTCTCTTATGTGGAATTTATGAATGGTTAAATATTGTTAACACTATCGCATTATGTACGCACCATATTCAGCGGCATAGTCAGGATTTCTCAATGCAAGAATGTAGCAAAAAAAAAAAAAAACCTAAACACAAAACGATAACGATTAAAACATTAAAAGTTCCAGCTAACGAGTGGAGAAGAGTCATGGTTCCGGATTACAATGCAATTTGATAGGGAATAACCTGTAATAAAAATGCTCATAGGGAATTGTGTTTGAAATTTAAAACGTTCAAATACCAATAGTCCCTGCGCTTTTTTAACGTCTCGATGCAAATATAAAATAGGAAAAATTCGATAAAATCACGGTGTGCATGTTATAAAATACAATTTCGACATGTATTGTTATAGATATTTATTATTCCGTGCAGGTTCCACGGACTGTCGTACATAGCCAAACACGTGGATCCCGTCGGGTTTCGGGAAGTCATAGCGGACGTTCGTGACACGCAATGGGACTCGGACGGACGTTGGTTGGTTGACGGTAATACGCTCGAAACGTTCGGTAAACCAGGTGTGGACCGACTGTTGGAACGGGACCGCGGTGGCGATGGTAACGTGCACCGTGACAGCGAGTCTTTGCGGCGGTTCAACGAGCTCATCGCGGACGGCGACGACTCGCTCCGGCGCGCTCTCGAGCCCCGCGAACCACTTTCCGTACTGTGCCACGGCGACTTCAACCGGAACAACATGCTGTTCCGGTACGACGACCGCAGCGGGCGTCCCACGGACGTGCTGCTGTTCGATTTGGGCACGCCCCGTTACGGGTCACCGGCGTTGGATCTGGCTTTCGTGTTGTACATGAACACGTCGCAGCAGCTTCGAGAGCGCCGGTGGGACGAACTGTTGGACGTCTACTGCGCGGCGTTGGCCGCTGCCGTGCCGACGGGCGTGCGCGTGCCTACCCGGGCCGAATTGGACGGCGAAATGGTCGCTTCCGCGCTGTTCGGTGTCGCGCACGTGTCGTTTTTCATGCCTTACCAAGTAAAGAAAATCGCCGGGGCCGGCCCGAGCAAATGCGACGGCGACGCGGGAACCGAGTACTTAGCCGACGTGGTGCAACATTTTATCGGCGCGGGATATGCGAAGTAAAACGACATTTGTTGTTTGAAACAGTTTTTCGAAAAAGAAAAAAAAAAAATGAAAAAAATAAAAGACGTATTTTGACATTTTGGTCACGTGAGCTTCACGCGTTCAATTAGTTTTAGCGTTGTTGATTTTCGATTGTACTATTTTAGCGGCTCGTGGATTTGTTATGCACACGATACATTATGTATTACCTGTACCGCGTACTATTGCCGTTACCGTGTCGTATTATTGAATAAACCGCGCGAATTACAATACGTTAAAATGTTACTTTTTAATTATTGCCCGGCACACGGACATTTTGTCGGACCCCGCGAATATCGGTTATGTACATATCAATAAAGTTGAATGTATAATAAAGTGAAAGGCATTTGAATCCTTTATAAAGCAACACCGTGTAAACGAACTGAAATTCCCTTAAGACATTTTTCGAATTTCACAGCAAAATCAACCATCTCGGACGATTTCGAACATTAAAAGTGGGAGAGATTTCCCTGCAAATCGCGTAAAAGTAATTACACAAGTTATATATGGATACGCGTTATCATTATTCAACGCTTTTAATCATTTAGGCGCTTATGGACAGAGACGATGTGCGTACATTTTGAAAAAATTTTGCCCCTTCAACGATTTAGCAATACTCACGCCCCTTAATTGCGTTGTTTGTTTATGATACAGTTAATGTTAAATGCGTACAGTCTTCATAAGCGTTCGGTTTTTTAATAAGAAAAACGCGCGGTCACAAACATTTTCCAAAACCGCGAAATTGCATAAAGGTAAGTGTACGGTATGTGTTTGATGATTTACGAGTATCAGTGTGTGATATAATATACCAATATATGTGCTGTGCAAGGTGTATACTTGTATAATAGGGTGCCGATACATCTATTATATTGTACAAGTAATAACAATGATTAACCATTCATGTTATTGATTAAAAATTTACCGTATTGTGATTACGAAATCGGGAATCAAAAGTTTGTATTCGAAATGTGTAAGCATTTCTTCGGTTCGCAAATGCGACATTATTCAATACAGTATACCTACAGCGACGTGCGCAGGACGAAAGTTAAGTTAGATTAAACAGTTGCTTAAGCCCCCATTCATAGACCGATCACCGTTGGTTTAGACACGCAAACAAAATATGGATACTAATTTTCATTTAGACTTTTAAATTATATATTTCAGCCAAATAAAAACGAGCTCTCTTGGGTCCGGTTTTCAAATTCTTATCGGTAGTTTAAATAATATAATTGAAATTCAAAGACAACTGGTCTGTACGGTTAACTATACGGTTTAATTTTTCAAATAAATAATTTAAAATTTAAATACCGAATGAATACAGAATCTAATGAAATTATCAATAATAAATTTCAATTAAAATAATAATAATAATATAAATGTAATATAAAGTGTGTTGTAAACAATTTAAAGTACAACAAATATTATTTATTAAGCTTAAATTTGTTAAATAGTTTTTTCTATAATGTATATCGTGGAATTTGGATATAACACAAACTTCTTATAATAATTTCACTATCAGCTTGAACACGATATTAAAATTTATTAAGAAAATTGTAAATATTTGGGTGTGGTGGATACAAATGATAATTGAATTTAGAATGAAAAGATTAACGTGGATTAATTTTCCTTTTTCATTTTTTAATTTTTGACCGAAACACTCAATAATTAAAACCATTGATATATGAGTATTAACGACGAACTGTGATTACTGTATTGTACGATATCAAATCCTATTAATTTTAAGCGCTCAATCGCTTAATATAGAAATATTATATATAGTAATACTTGAACGCGATATCTTTTTAACGATTGTATAATTTTTACCAGTTATCCGGTACTGTGTTGGTAAAAATATTAATTTCGCAAAGGCAATTTTTCTATTTTTCTATTTTGAGACTACACTTGATGAAAATATTGTTAGGGGCTATTTAAATATTATGTTTCTGAGAAACAATTCAATGGTCAATGGAGTACATTACCTAATATCGAGAGTCAATTCAATGGTAGCCGGATTTATAAAGTTGTTTAATTTATACTTGTAGGAACGATAAATCATTACTAACGAAAAATACGATTTTAAGCGAAAACCGCTAATTTGTGTTCTGCTTATCGATTTCATCACCATTATACCTACAAAATATAAATTACGTAAAAAAAAACTCGCGAAATCAGTGAATAATAATGATATTGGATACAGTTCGTTTGCCTAAAAATATATATACTATTATTTCAAGTGAAATGACGTATGTAATAATATATCTGTTGTAAGGAATGTAATACAATTTATAAGTGGCAGTATTTTAACTAGTAATAAAAATTGTACAATTACATTCGATAACAATAATAACTTGCTTAAGGGGAATAATATCGGTTCTCCAAATTGTCTCCGATTTAATAAAATTCAAAAATCGTTGAGATAATTTAATAACCACTTAAATGATTAAACGTATCAACTGATTTTTACCGCCCGATATCCATTTAAAAGGATGAGATACGGCCGAGAAAGGGGTTTTTTTTTTAAAGTATAAGGTTTTACAAAATGTATTTACTATCTGACTGTAACTATCGGATAAAACTTATGAAAACATATTTGAATTTGCCATGGAGTTTTCTTAAAATCGATTTTCTAACAGTTTTGAATACATTTTTTTTTTTTGAAATTTACATCATGTTGAAAAATAAAAAACTAAAAAAACTTACAATTTTACTATTCAAATATTACTCAAAAACTTTAAAAAAATAAAATCTAAAATAATTTTGTTAGCATGGGAAATCAATTAAACTAAATTTATTAGGATTATAAACTCGTAAATTTTAAGAAGTAAGAAATGATTCCAATTTTAGTTGATCTGTTTAACTGACACTACATTTATTTTTTTATTAAAATTAGGTAGCTACACAAATTTTAAGCGACTCAGTAGTCGCTGAATAACTCATAAAAATCTTTAACGTATATTTAGATTTTTCCAAAACAAACTAATTAGTGTCATTTTCACATAAGGAGTATAAAAAATTATTTTGGATTGCATTAGGTATTCATATATTTTTTTTAATAACGTTTGTTTTATGTACTTATTTTTCCAAACGAAATTACTGGTAAAAAAGCTGTTCGCAGGAAAAGGAGCAAAATGGGACACTTGTTCCTTACAGAAACGTATGCCAACACTGTTAAGAACACGTATTCAAATATTTTTGGAAAGTATTCGGACACAAAAATGTTATAAAGTACTTTATCTTGAATGAATGTATTCGAATAGTTTGAAAGACTGATTATTGGGCCAACGAATCCGATAATTGGGGAGTAACTAAATAATATTCAGTTAGACAATTATAGAAACAATACGAATAAAATATCGTATTGCATAAAAATATTTAAAAAAGCCCATGCGTTGTGACAGTGTGCGTAGCATGATAACCAGGTCNAAATAAAACGCGCGCGTTCGTGTCCGAGTGAATTATGGATTCTTTAATACTACAAGAATTGCCGAGAATCGTGGACGACGGTGCGTTCGGAAAAAATGTCGAATTCGTATCGTTCGAAAAGAATACGGACACAGTTAGCCAGGACCAATACATGTCTGTGGTGTCATTTGGTACTGTCCTTACATCGGACGGATCGAAATATAACGTTTTGATCAAATGTAAAACCGATGATAAAGTGAAACGTGAGCGATATAAAATCGATTTACAATTTCACAACGAAATATTAATGTACGAAAAAATCGTTCCGTTCTTATTGATGTGTCGTAGTTCAGTGATCAGCGGATTGAGTGGTCCGTCAATACCACGGTTTTTTTATGGCCGGAATAGTTTCGATGCGTCTGTCGAAAACGATTTAATAATATTGGAAAATGTAAATCCTTCGGGATTCCGCTTGAGCGAAGAACGCCTGTTTCTAGACTATGATCATCTTGTTAAAGCACTTCAAGCCATTGCAAAGTATGTTGCGACTACACAAAAACGATTTATAATAAAGCAAATTATTAAACCAACGTGTTCGCAAAGATTAAAAATATTGGTGTGTGGGTATACGGTGAGGGGTAGGATTAAAACATCCNCCCCCCCCCCCCCCAGAAAAAGGTTTTGAAATTCACCACTGAAATATTGTTACACTTTACAAGTTTTTGTAGTATATATTAAATAATATTTTTAGGTATTTTACCTTTTTTTGTCATGTTATTTATTTACGGGGTACGTGTACAATTTTGTACATCAAAACGATTATTCGAATAACATTAATCATTGAATAAAAATTAATAATCTGTATTTTATTAGTGTCGGTTTAATTATATTCATATTATGATATATTTACTTAAATTTCACGTTTAGGAATGTGAAGACTATTTCCTGAGCACACGTCATAGTATAACCAATGCATTGCTCGCCACGCTACGCTCTGAATCTTGACGAACTTGAAACTCTCGACCGACCAACAAATAAAAGTCCTCCCATACTAATGAAATTATTTGTACCGATTGGATTGTATTTGTTTATCCTATGATGACATAGGTTACTCTTTTCATTTTTTTTTTTTAATGCGCATAGCTGTTGAAATTAAATTTCCTCGTTTATAGGTACTTGCAAATTCCTATTAAAAAAATTGTATTCAATTACTGTGCCAATATTGTGTATTTATTATTCCAACAGTTATTTATCAATTTTTGTCGAGTGCAACTAACAAATATCTAATTGACTTTTTGTGAACATATTTATACACCTATAGATAAGTGATTATATTGAAGTATTTTCAATTACACATAGATAGCATTAATTTCTCGTATAGTGCGTGTTGTTACAAAATTAAAGTGCAAAAATGTATCCACAGCATTCGCGTGGCGGTAAAACGTTTTGCGAATCATTCATACTATTTGAGATTTGTTCTACTACAAACCTCGCACATTGAGGTGTTATATCAGGTATTGAAAATGTATACTTTATCACGAGCGTACATTTTTCTTCGTGAATGTCGGACACTTGTATATCACTTGTAAATACCAAAAACACCAAAAAGTCAATTTCGTAAAAAAATATAATTTTATAGAAAATAATAATAAAGATATTTTTAGGTTAGGCAAAGGAGAAAATTTCAATAGTACTTGATGTTTTACATAAAATGTTAAGACAGTTATTTTTTTTCAATAAGTGGGATAATTATGCTACTAATGTTTTTGACGAAGAATAGTTAACTAGTTCTCAATAGCCTTAAATTTGTGGAAACATAAAACTACATTTGGCAATACTAAAAAATCGAATACTTTTATTACGTTTAGATAAATATAATTGATACTTTATAAAACAGTTTTGTTTATTGCACGGTAAGTAGGTCCATAAAATGTATTCCATTGCGTTATATGAATTATTGATAATAATCGATAAGAGAAGGAGTTATATAGTATTTGGTTAGAAAATGCAAAATCAATTAGTCTTCAATCCAATAAGGAAAACAAAACGCGTGCGTTCGTGTCCGAGTGAGTTATGGAATCTGTAATACGACAAGAATTGCCGAGAATCGTGGCCGACGGTGCGTTCGGAAAAAATGTCGAATTCGTATCGTTCGAAAAGAATAAGGACACAGTTAGCCAGGACCAATACATGTCTATGGTGTCGTTTGGTACTCTCCGTACCTCAGACGGATCGAAGCATAACGTTTTGATAAAATGTAAAACCAATGATAAATTTCTACGCGAGAAACTCAGAATCGATATACAATTTCACAACGAAATAATCATGTACGAAAAAATCGTTCCGTTCTTATTGACGTGTCATGGTTCAATGGTCAGCGGATTGAGTGGTCCGTCAATACCACGGTTTTTTTACGGCCGGAATAGTTTCGATCTGTCCGTCGAAAACGATTTAATAATATTGGAAAATGTAAATCCTTCGGGATTCCGCTTGAGCGAAGAACGCCTGTTTCTAGACTATGATCATCTAGTTAAAGCGCTTCAAGCCATTGCAAAGTATGTTGCGACTACACGAAAACGATTTATAATAAAGCAAATTATTAAACCAACGTGTTCGCAACGAATAAAAATATTGGTGTGTGGGTGTACGGTGAGGGGAATGGTTAAAACATCCCGAGACACTGATTTAGTTTTCGTAAAATTTTTTTTTAAATATACGGTACCTTACACATACATTTAAAATACGAGTACATATTATTTTTCTGGTCCTCCTCCCCCCCCCACCCCTCAGAAAAATGTTTGAAATTCGCCATTGAAATACTGTAACACTATACTAGTGTTCGTAGTATATATTAAATAGTATTTTCGGGTTTTTTTTACCTTTTTTCGTCGTGTTATTTATTTACGGGGTACGTGTACAATTTCGTACGTCCAGACGATTGTTCGAACAACGTTAATCATTGAATAAAAATTAACCACGTGTATTTTATTAGTGTCGGTTTAATAATAATCATATTATGATACGTTTATTTAAATTTAACGGTTAGGAGCGTTGAGACTAGTGTCCGAGTGTTTGAACGCTCGGTTCGTTAATACGTGACAATTGTTTATGTTCAGGTTTCACGGATTGTCGTACATAGCGAAACATAAGGATCTAACCGGCTTCCGGGAAGTTATCAAAGGCGTTATCGAAAAGAACAAAGCCGTTGACGAGAAGGGATCGTGGCCACAAATGCTGTACAACTCGTTACACAAATTCGGTAAACGGGGCATAGACCGGTTACTGGAAAGGGACGGCGTTCGATACCGGGGAAACGATAACCTACGGCGATTCGAAGAGCTCATCAAGGACGGGGTGAATTCGGCGAAGCGAGCATACGAGCCTCGCGAACCGTGGTCCGTACTTTGTCACGGTGACTTTAACCGGAACAACATGCTGTTCCGGTACGACGGCGATGGCGGACGTCCCGTGGACACGCTGCTGTTCGATTTCGGCACACCCATCTACGGATCTCCGGTGTTGGACCTGTCGTTCTTTCTCTATATGAACACCACGCAACAGATGCGCGAGAGCCGGTTGGACGACTTGTTGAACGTGTATTGCGCTACGCTAGCCGCCTCCGTCCCCGCGGGCGTCCGGGTTATGGACCGGGCCGTACTGGACGCCGAAATGGCCAAATCGGCGCTTACTGGTTTCGCTTCCGCGTCGTTTTTTCTACCGACTCAGTTGTCCGAAACCTATTCGCCGCCAACCGATGTTAGCGAAAAAGGGGTAATCGATTTTTTTTTAAACCTGGGCGACACCGCGGGAACCGAATACGTGGCCGACATGGTCCAACACATGGTCGACATGTCATATATAGATGTTTAACGGGATTTCGCGGTTTTTTTTTTTTGTCGTTTTTTTCAATACATCGTATTTTAATCAACATAATAATTATTCAAATAGTTTATACGATCATTTGTAAATTTAATCGAGTGTGCAAGGAATTATCCTCATACTTACGATATTATGATATTATGACATTATTAATATTGTTTCCAATTAAGATATTTTAATATTTTGTTTATATGTACTAGTTAATAGCGTGATAGTTTGGTGCATAAAAATGGTTACAACTAGTTTGCGCACAAATTATTATAAGAGGAATCACGTGCTAACGCAATAGTATATTAACTGTTTAATAATTATTACTATACGTACGCAGAAAATGATATTGCCGATATTAAAGAATTTATGATTAAAACTAATTTTATAAGGAAATCGTTAAATAATAATGTTAGTGATCAGCATTATCGAAAGGAAATAATACGAATAATTATTAAACAGGTACCTCCGTGAACAATCGATGAATTCCTTCTAGGGTGTACCTTTTGACATTTTTTAAATAAATTTAAGATAAATGACAAATTCATTCAAATGACCGCTTTCCCCATTTTATACCGTAATATTATCAACTACAATTAATTTCAAATTTTTATTGCACCGAGGGCACATTTTTAACCAACACAGATAAGTTATTATATTCGGTGGCATTTCTAAGATTGTGTTAGTGGAAAGGAAGATATGTACGCCAACGAATGGTTGCATGAAAAATAATCTGCGCGCAAACTGTGTTTGCCCCATAGAATGAGCTTGATAACCGTTGTAAAATTACCAATATGTATAAGTAGTTTATGGATTCATATCATCAATATTTATAACTCGCATAATCATAATATCGCAAACAAATTCTTAAATGCCGTAAAACGTTTAGTAATAACTTAAATACTTGTTGATAAAAAATTGTGACATGTGATAGCGAAATGCTACTGATGTTCCCACTGATGTTCGTTTTTTTTTTATTCAATATAACACATTTTAAATAGCATAATAATTAGTATCCATATAGTTAATACAATTATTAGACAATATGACTAGATAATGTGATTATGCAAGTAATAATCCTTAAACTTATTATCAAAAAATAAATATTGTTTTTAATTATGATGTTTATATTAATAATTAGGTATATTACTATATGGCTTTTTGATAAATATTAATAGGCTTATCTATACTTACTGTGTTAGAATGGGATTAGCACAACATTTATGGTTCTTATTATTTGGATTCTATGATAAAACTAATACATTTTTAAATAATCAATGATATAACTCGTAGTATTACCCGGTTTTGCTCACGAGCAATTTGCTAATGAAAAATTCTTCCTTTTTTTCAAGTGGAGTCTACAATGTTTTACCGCGAGTCAGTCAAGGCGAAACGAGCTGGTCCATTTATTAAATCGTGAGAAACAAAAAATGCAATTTAAACATACGATTTGCAAAATTAAATAATATATCGAAAAACAGGATTGTCTGTTGATAACTTTTATTTTAAGACAAATTTTCAACAAATTTTAAGCCAATAGGTACATTGTATATTTGTCAACACCAAAAATAAAAAGATATTTATTTTGTTTAAAACAATTTTTTACACAGAAAATCTAATTAAATAATTTTTAACAGTTACAATTTAATTTTTAAATACTCATTAGACAATACACCCATTCTATAAACCTATAATACTAATCTGCGCTCTATTTCATTATTCACAGATTTTAATTCATCAATTCATCTGAACGTTCATTCAATTTTCTTGTTCAACAAACAAAATTACAAAGGATTTCAGTCATTTTTGCAACATTGTATTTCGGTTTTTTGATTTTACAATAGGTAATTGAGAAAATACTTTCTTACAGCTACAACTCGTGACAAATATGGTATCAAAATCTATTAAAACCTTTTTAAAATTTGAAAGTATATTTTGTCATTAATTTTTTTTTGAAAGTCAATTGTTAACTGCTTTTGTTGATAAGCCATTTGGAACATTTGGAATGCCTTTTAAAATCCTTATTTCAGCAACAAGTCCTTCATGAGAGATTAAGAATATCTTTTGTAGTACTTCATAGAGATTGGTTTTATGTATTTCTAAATTTAACATTTTGCCTACACCATTTATCATATCAAGAATTTCCTGAGTGAACTTTAAATTTAATCCATTTATTAATACATCTAAGGTTTTGTAAAAACTGTTACTTTTAGTCTTCTGACTTTGACACAAACATGTGTTGGGTTTTTATAGAGTCTATTTTTATGGATATTTTTCCATTTTTGACTTCTGGAATTTCTATATCATGTTCCTTACATATTTTTAGGCAATTAGCAAACATTTAATTAAACTGTTCACTATTCCTCATTAAAACTAGAGATTTTTTCAATGAAATGTTCAGTTGAACAGCAGTGAACAAGTCTAAATTCGAAGACTGTAACGACTTGATCATTTGCAAATTAGGTTCCATCATCGACAAAACAAAAATAAATTAAAATGTTTGCAACTGTTAAAAAGGCCTTTTACTCGAATTTTTGGTATGGCACAGTCATCATAAAAGTTATGTATAGAGCTGGCAATATAATATTACAATTTTTTTTAATAGAAGAAACAACTTCAGCACTATGAGTCCACCGAGTAGTTGAAAATGATTTCAAAGTTAAAACCTGTTGGCCAGATTCTTTCACTATGTTTTTCAATATATCTAATGGTACTGTTTTATAAAAAGTATGAACAAACTGAACTGTTCCAAAAAATTCAAAAATAAGAGAGCTATATTTTAAAGCTGATTTAGTATTGGATTTTTCAAAAATTCTATCAATCAATGCTAAATTTAAACAACGGGCATAACAATAAATATAAAATATATTGTTATTTTCTTGTTTACATCTTCTTGCACTCCAGATATACTACCAGTTATTGTACTAGCTTCATCAAAACAAACAGCTAAGATTTTAGACCTGTCTTTAGAAAACTGCTGTAACACAAAAGTTATCATATTATAAATTGATTCAGCGTTAAGTGATGTCATGCGTTTTAATCCAATTAAAGTTTCAACATGTCTATTCTTTTGTAAATCGAAATGTCGAACAATAATAGATAACTGTTCATGATGCCTTATATAACTGGTTTCATCTGCAATTGTAGATATGTTTGTATTTTTCACTTCAAATTTGAATTTTTAAGTAGTACAGTGTGAAGGGATGTGATCATAGCGTTTTGAATATGGTTACTTAAATACTGTGCATTTTGTTTACCTCTAAATGTGTGATAAGCATACCATTATACTTTTCCAAAAATTTTACAAGCTCTTTAAAATTACCTTGATTAAAACTTAAAACAATTTTTTGTTTCATCATGGCCACGGAAAGCCAAACCTCTTTTAGCTAGAAACAAAGAAATATGATACCATAATATGTGATCGATCAACTTCACGTTTTTTCGAGATGGATTTTCTTTTTTCATCTAAAACTTGATTTATTGGTGTTGATTTTAAAAAACTTTTTATTACCGAAACACTATTAATGTGAGACTTTGTTTTTGGTGATTTACAAAAGGGGTAGAATCCGATTGCGTACGATTTACCTTTTCTGGAACACGATTGCGTATGTTTGCTGTATAACAATGAAACCCATAAAAAAAAAAAACCCATAAAACGACACGATAGGGTATGCTACATTGCCAAATTTATAAAATCAATTTTTCGTTCAAGTACTCGTTACCGGCTTGATTGTTAAATATATTAAACGTATAGAATATCGATCTATGGACAGCCTACAGGTCAACAGATTATCAACCTATATATATAAATATTACGAAATCACATAATATCACATATCTCCTTTAATCTACTTGATAATAAGTAATGTGAACTTTTATTTTAAATTTAATATCGTTTCCAGTTTCGTCTGTGATTTTCCAGCGTGACAACGTTGCATAAAAATAACGTACGCAATCGTGTTAGGAAAAAGGTTGAAAAAGGTACCTCCGACAAGCAGCGTACGCAATCGTACTCTACCCCACAAAAGATAAATGTGACCTCTATAAACCTTTAAATCCTTTTGTAGTAAAAGCATCATCTAATTGGCCACTATTTAACTGATTACCCATAAATGAAAACGACACGGAAAACAAAAAGCTAAATCAATAGCTGAATTATATTCTAGCCAGGTATACTGAGTATACCATATTTTTTGAAAAGCACGGTTTTTGTTACCTTGCTTTGTTTGTGGATACATTTCATAAGCTAGTTAAAAAGGGCCCATTTTAATTCATTCTCTGAACTCCGAGGTATTTTTCGAAAGAGGATGAATTGGATCATTAACATGAGTTGTACCTAAAATATTTAAATTCGGACTAAGTTTTAAATTCACTTATAAATCATTATTATTAAATATGAATTATAATTATCGAATCTATAACACAATTGGAGTTCCTAAATCCAAATTTGTATCAATTGATCCTAGTATGACATCTCATTATTAATATTTTAAAAGCATTTTAATACAGATTATATAATGAGTTAAGTGTTACAATTAAATCATACTTAATTCAGATAAAAACAGCATGCAAAAACCAAAATGTTATTTAATTTATAATTTTAAAACATTATTTTTACACAAAATGTTCACAAACATATTAAAATATTAAGAAAGTATATATACATACTCAAGAATCCAGCTTCCAAAGTAGCCATGTAAAACTACTTTAAACATGATATTTATAAAAAAAAAAAACCTAGAGATACTTAACAAATAAGTTTTGATTTTAAGGAACAAATTAGGTACCTACTATTAGTTTTACATTTTTGTTGAAGAAATCGTGGAATTTTAAACTGTTGTTTTTTTATTTTTCGTACAAAATATATAGTGTAATAAATATAATTATATATTTTGAAAGGCCGTAATATTTACGACTTTAGTCAAAACTTGATTTTAAAATTCTTATTAATATAAATCACAGCATTAAATCAACATTTTTTTTTTCATCACTAAATACGGTTAATAAATCCTACTATCAAATGTTCAAACATTTCTGTCAAGTCTAAAAAATCATCTATAAAGAACCTATCAAATAAAAATTACGTAAAAAATTCACAAAATTAAAATATCTATTAATAGGTCAAAAATTGCTCATATGTTTTGATAGCTTAAGACAAGTTCCACGTCAAGAAATAGTATTTTCGAATATTATAAACAGAATGTCTGAATTATATTAAAAAAACTAAATTTAAAATAAAAAAAATAATTATTTTCCCATTCATATGACGTATTTTTCTGTATTGCTCAATTACTTAAAAATAAACAGCAAAGAAAATCAAAAACCGACCCTGTTGGTCACCAACTACCAGGCGGTCCATTTAAGTGGTTACACTCATTATCTCGGATAGTACTAACTTTTTTCGAAATTTATTTTCCAGAACATTTAAGAAATAAGCTGCTTTACGATTGTATATTTATGTAATTTTTTGTCACACTTATTTTTGGGGGTAAAACCGCTACCTACTTTTGGTTTACAAACAATTAATCCTAAATTAAGAATTCCATAATTAATTGGAGTATTAGTTAAAATAAATTTGAATGTTGAAATTTTTAATTTCTGTCGAGCCGTTGATGAGATATTCCACTTTTATATTTGAGTTGCAGGAGAGTAGTGTAGTATCATTTGTATAACTACGGCGCGTATATACTAACTTTTAAATATAGTTAGAAAAATATTTCTAAAATCTTCTCCTTCCTATTAGTTATTTATTAATTGAAACAACGTGGGTATATGAACGGTATTGTTAAAATGATATTGGTGATATCAGAACGCGTGAAATTAAAACACATATACAAGTTAGGATATGTATGTGTGTACAAATAAAATTAGTCGAGATAAACATTACACATTCTTTGTTTTCTCGCGGTTTTAATGTGTAACGTTCGGCGCAATACTCAGTAAAGATACTACGGAAGATAAGATAATTACGAGGTAATTTACGGAAATTCAAATATCTTGTTGGAAAATTGAGCACATATTTTACAAACGGTACCCGTTGGCCATCACTAATTCGGTACAAAATATTGGTACTGGAAAGAAAATTAGCTTTCAATGTCCGCCCGTTAACTTCGGGGACCTGTTTGAAACGTATTTGGCGTGCAATACTCAATAAAACACTGTGGACAAAAACACGAATATTTTGATTTTAGTTTATAAATTAACATTGTATGGTAACACGTATTATATGAAGCTTTTGATTTCTCGACTTGAATTGACTTGGTGTCAGATAAATGCATTTTGTATTTTACATATTATATAGATCACAATTGAAAACACGATGTAATGCGCGATTAAAATACGCCGGATTCTAAATACGTTATAAGTTAATTAATCCGCGTGATCGTGTAAATACTTGATGAATTATGAGTATTATTGTCCTAAATGAAATATTTTTAAAACGTGACTTGTGTTATTGATAATGATAATAAAAAAAAAAAAAAAAACAATAATAATAATCTTCCTGTACAAACATTTTTAGTATCCAAAAGAATTTACTGAAAAACAAATCATAATGATTGTGGTAATAATCTTAGCTTGCACGAGTGTTAATAGTTTTTATTTTACGAATAAATAACGACACAAATAGATAATATTTTACATTCGATGTTTTATTGTAATAATACGTGTCCGCAGTGTGTGCATTGCGATTGTTCCGAATAATGCAATGCGACCGAGTTCAAGTGGACGGACGAGTAATAAAAAACACGTGCCGTCCCGATACTGCCGTTCCGTTGGCGTTCTGTGTTCGTAAAAAAAAAATTACAGGTTTTGTGAACAATGGAAAACCTCGTAATTACACGACACGAAAAAAACAGTGATAATATTCGAATATTTCATTGTTGCATTTCACGACGAGCTTTGACGAATACGTGACAATACATTAACCGATGGCTAGGCGGGCTGGACGAACACCTCTATAATGGGATATTATTACGGTGCCCGTTGGACGGATAATTCGGCGACACTCTGTCGGTCGAACGTTTACGACGAACCGGTACTGTCGCGCATGCACCGCGGCATCGCGCGAATCGCGCGGTTTCGAAATAGAACCGTACGGCTAAAAAGATAAACGGATAGGTTTTTTCTCTCTCTTTAACTGCGCGTAATATTATTGTAGACCGATTCAAAACAAAAAAAAAAAAAAAAAAAAAAAAAAAAAATAAATAAATAAAATAATAATATCAATTCCGAAACACGCGTCCTACCGGTAACAGCCCTATTCAGAATAACCGACGGTGCGATCGAGACTGACGCGACGCGCAATGTTGAGAACCAGCGGCGGTCGGACAACGTCGTTGTAATCGAGTGGTTAGTTGCCGTTCGGCTGTAGTAGCAGATAGTGGAAACAAATCTCTGCCGCTATCTCGAGAACAGGCGCGCGTACGTGCGACCGACTTGGCAGCGAACGCGCACACGGGCCGACGCCACCATGGTCGGCAAACGCGTAACTTCGGCGTACAAAAACGACGGCTTCGATAACACCGACACAATGGATTGGAATCACGCGACGCTGAAACATTGGCTGTCGAAGGTGCTGACCGACCACGAGGCGTACGGCGCGGCCGCCGGCCGGCCGGCCACGTTCGAGCCGGACAAAGACCACAGGAACGCGTCGCGGCTTCGAAAAATCAACCGGCTGTCGTCGGAGGTGATCACGGGCCAACTGACGGTAGCCGGCCACCGGCGTACGGCCGTCTGGCTGATGGTCAAGCTCAAGCCGCCGCTGGCGCAAATGCGCACGTTGCTCAAGGTGGACCGGCAGTTCCACAACGAAATACACGCGTACCAGAACGTCATACCGCTGCTGCTGGAGAATCTGCCCGAAGGGGCCCGGCCCCCTGCTCTGCCCAGGTTCGTATACGGCCAGAACGAGTGCGGCAGTCACTGGTCCGAGGACGTTATCGTATTGGAAGACCCGCGCTCCTGGGGTTACAAGCCGGCGGTCCGGACGTCGCCTGAACTCAATGCCAACTTCATGGACTACGACCATCTGGCCGTGGCCATATCCGCGCTGGGCCGGTTCCACGGTCTGTCGTTCACCGTCAAGCAGAAGAACCCCAAGGCGTTCCGCAAGCTGGTGGGCAACCTACGCGAAATCCAGTGGGACGAGGACGGCTGGTTGATTAAGAACAACGGGCTCAAGTCGTTGGGCATGCGGGGCGCCCGGCCGCTCATGGAAGAGGAACAGTACCAGGGCGGCAAGCTCAAGGGCTTCTTAACCATGATCCGGGAGGCGGACCGCAACCTCAAGCTGGCCATGACCCCCAACGAGCCGTTCGCCGTCATATGCCACGGTGACTTTTGCAAGAACAACTTGCTGTTCGCGTACGACGAACAGTCCGGCAAACCGCAAGACGCCATAATCACCGAATTCACCGCCATCAGGTAAATACTACGGTTATCGTTTTCGCTCCGTAGGCCGGTCATCGATACATTCACGGTATTGTCAGCCGTCCGGTTGCTCTGCGGCACGGCGGCCGACCGACCGCATTAACAAAGTTAAATCGCGGCCGCGCGGTATCGAAGGCTGTTGAAATCTCCCGCGGAATTTTCGGAATCGCGTCGCGGCCGGTTTATTACCGGGGCGACCCGAGTCCCCCGTCACCTCTGCCCGCCCCGTCGTCACTTCGGTTCCGCCGTTGGCTTCGGCGCGGTGCAACGCGTCCGCGATCGCGACAACGGCTGCCGAACGTCGCGCGACCGACAGCGCGTATGTACGCGTTGTTATTGCGCATTGGAAATCTCGCGTTCCCAGCGGTTTCTCTTCGGTACGGGCCCGCGGCACCGTCGTCGGACGCGCCGCGGCTGTTACCCGGTCCGCTCGGATGTCACGCGAACGGCGGCGTGCCCGCGCCGCGCTATTCGAACGCCGACGACGGTTAAGCGACGCGCCCGGGGTACCCGACCGCTGCCGCCGGTCGCAGCCGAAAACAGCAAACGGCAATTCTCCCCGCGGGCGGACGATAAGCCACATTTTAATGCGGTGCCGACCGGAGTTACGCAACGCGTCGGCAATCCCGAAAATGTCACACAATCCGCACCCGGCTGCGAGACTATTTCGGAAACCGTTTCGATATCGCGCAACGTCATTGCGCGCCGGCTCGGAACGCTCGCGTCGGCCCGATAAAATTATCCGTTCCGACACTGTTACACAATAATTTGAGTCGTTTAACCGCACGTTTGATTAGGCGTCACTCTCGCGCGCACCGAAATATTCAATTTCGTTTTTTTTCTACCCTCCCCCCCGCATCTCTGTTTCATTACAGTGTTGCCGAAACTTATTTATATGGTAATATATAGTGTATATCACGGGATACGGCGCGGAGCGGGCACAGCAATGCGCGTATAATATTATATAGATTGAAAGGACCTTTTTTATTTTGTTTTCTTTTTTTCCCGACGGGATAAGCTTATGGAAATTTACATACGGGCGTTTCAAAAAAATAACAACGACAACAGTAGAAAAAAGAAAGAAAACATTTTAAGCCGACGCGAATCGTATTTCATGAAATATAATATTATTTAATCCACTCGGCTGCGTTCCGTTCCGGTACACAACGAAAAACCGAACTTGTAATATATCTAATTTGTAAACAACATCGGTCCGATTTTTCATTTTTTTTTTCTGTCGCGGTTTTAATTACCCACGCGTTTTACGACAAAAAAAAAAAAAAAAAATCGCCGCACCTAACAATGCGTCGAAACAACTATGCCTACGCGTCGCGTAACAGATAATGTCGATCGTGTTTTTTTTGAACGAATTGAATAATAATACGATAATTGTACGTATACATACGCAACACGATAGGGCAGCCCACGGAACGATGATAACACGTCGAAACGTGTAGTGTTTATTGAAATCAATCGTATTGTTTACCGGGCAAGCCAATAACATTTATGACGTTAACTCGTCGGTTTAATAATTCAACCTAACGAGTTATTGACGCGTCGAAAGTTAACCGTTTTATTAATCGACCGGGTCGAGTGAAAAGTCGATTCGAAAATGTAATTCACTCGTTGTACCCAGCTAGTGTTTGAGTCAAGTCATAACTTTTATTTATGTTATTGAACTGTTACTGCAGTCGCGGCGAAACTGACAACTGACTGAACATAGGTTTATCGTTTTTCTTTTTTTTTCTTTTTCTTTAGTGTGTCATATTATGCACACATGGATCGGAGGGAAAGTTATTCCGGGAATATCAAATTATAGAGTTTTAAAATAAAGAAAAAAAAAAAACACGTATTATTATACGTGTTTTTTATTTTTACTACGATGATGCTATATCTATTCCGACAAAACGCAATGTACGGATGGTAAATTCGGGAATCGCGAAAAACGAGTTAAGTTACAATAATGCTACAGGTTAAAATTAACTTAATTTTTCCAAATCGTAAATTTCTTGGGGCCTAGATTCGTCATTCCGAATTCTCGAAGCCTTGATCAATGTATGCAATTTATTCATAATTGATGGTTTGAATTGAAAATTTACCCAATTGTCCTATATAGTATATGTATTTATTTGATTGTCATCATTGGTTACTTATGCTAGCACTAGCCGACCCGGCAATGGTTTGTATGTTGCTGGATAATATTGTAAATAGCAGATAACAGTAATAATAGTAGTTTTCTTGTCCGTGACAACACAATTGTCATCCATGTCGTCAAGGTCCTCCGCGAACAAACAAAAATAAATAAACAAAAAATTAGATATTCGTGCTAAGAATGCCTAAAATCTATTTTGCCCCCGCAGGGGTCGAATTTTCAAAAATTCATTCTTAACGAATGACTACGTCTCAATAGCTCCGAGTACGCCAAATGTTGGCCCAGTCCAGTGGTTTGAGCTAGGCGATGAAAAATCAGTCTGCAGTGAGTCAGGACATGTAATTGTATAGACGATTGCGATTGCGACCACGCGGTCAGTGGTGAATATTGAGAACGAACGGTTTGACGGGAACGCTGAATAAAACACGGAATGATAGTTATGAGTAGGTAGCCGCATATTATTAGTGAATAGTACACAAAGTGTCTGTTAAGTATTTTGTTTACGTCAATTATTAAAAAAACCAGTGTCTATTGTGTTTACTACATCGCGTTAGGATTTTCTCTATTTACGCGTGTTTACCCAGACGATTGTGTGTACGTTATGCGAATTCGCGTACAAAAAGCCACGCCCGTCGGAAATCTTTTCGGCGCAACACTCTGTCGGTTCTCACAGCTGATATTTTATTACGTTTTACAACGCATAACGCGTACGGTGTATCGCAAAGAATTTGACAAAAACGTTTATCGGCACCGCCCTTCGAATTTGTCCACCGCCGCCGCCCCCCCCCCCCCCCGTCTAATAACAATAATTCCTTTTGATATTTTTTTTCCCCCTCGCGTGCACAACGTATCATATTGTGTATTTTACCCGAACATCATAAACACATGTTTCGTGCCAAGGTACGTACCCTTTGGACGCGCGAAGAAAAGATAAGGAGACATCGGGAGTCGCCGCGGTGTTCAATATTATTGTAGTTCAACGGCGTTTAACCGATAAATCAATTTTTTTTTTCGCAGTATGAATTGGGCGCTAGCCGCGTAATACCGTGCCAAAAAAAAAAAAAAAAACATTATTTTTCGCACAAACACGCACAACAGTACGATATTCACACCCCGAACAGTGTGCATTTTTTTTTTCGTCGCAACGCTATGAATCATAGGTTTTATTGTGTTATTTTTTTCTTTTTAAAGCTATAGAGAGATATATTCTAATAATATTCCTTAGGTTATTTTCTTTTTTTTGTATCGATAAAAAGAACATAATATTCTTCTTCGCGACGGGGTTTTCGGTTTTTTTTTTTTTTTAAATTTTCGATATCTTTAGATAAAACTTTTATCGTTAACATATCGCAGCAAACATTCGAATTTCCTAAATCATATAATACAATATAAAAGAACAATATACTTACCATGTATGCACACGGTTTTTATTTAACTTTTAAAAACTTTACACGTTATAATATACTCGTATATAATGCTTAGAATTTAAACTAAAAAAAAAAAAAAAAATGTCTATATAGACACAGGCTTTACGGTCTTAAATAAATGCATACTTAGACCAAACTGTATACGATTTAATAATATTTAAATAATTCTATCCGAATGTATAGGTAATAATACGTTATTCAAATAAACACTGATCTAGAACAAAAATGATGACCTAATAACCAGTCGAACAACTGTAGATACAGGGTAAAATTATTATTTTTAATCTTTTTTTTCCGATATTGGAATAAAAATTAAAATAATGGCACGTGTTATTCAATGATTGTTCAACAAAGGCACTCGTAACAGTGGGTGGTGGGGTGGGGTGGTAAAGGGGCCAGGACAAATCAATTCGGACACCCTGAACGGCCCAAATATTCGTTTTCACTTACGGTAGAAAACACAAAGTGATAATATTTATAATGAAATATTTTACATGCCGAATATTATGTTACTGTCGCTAAAATAAAAAAAAATCGGTCTAGTGTGTTCTGTAAAAGGTAAACAAATTAAGTTAATCGAGTGTGTTGACTACGATATAAAAAACTAAAAAAAACTACCACAGTAATCATGATTATAATAATTATTACGATCACTTTTTATGACACAAAAAAAATAAAGGGTTAGGTATATTGTTTTTTTATGGACCTACGCGTATTATACGATCGTCGTCATGTCGGTCAATTGATGTTGATTTTTATGTTTATTGCGAACAGACGCGAGCATCAAAAATAACGATTTTTTCGGGAGGCAATTTTATCAACACAAAAATCCAATTACCGTTTTAATTCATTGTTCTAAACGATCCGTATTAAATAATGGCCATCATAATGAAAATCGTAAAAACTATGCTTGAAAAATAAATGGCGGAACAAAATAATAGTCATTTTCCCTATAAAATATAATATAATCCCGATACGATCCCGGGACCGTGATTTTTTTCATCTCACTGTCCGAAATAGGAAATTATTAATTATGTTATTTTATATGATATAATATAATATAAATTGTATACCTAAGTGCTAAATAATATACATAGTGTATATCTGTCGAATTTCCCCCCGAAATAGAGACTATTACCACTGTAGATGTGTCTGTTACGTGTTGAATTGTAAACGTAACATATGTGGAGACATCCACTGGACTCAAAACAGTTTAAATTTGTATATCCACGTGTTTTTTTTTACAAACTAATTGAAGCGATAACATTTTGGTTGAATTGCATGGTTCAAATTGATTTAACCATGACGATAGGAGGAATGGGGTGTTTTCTTTTACTTCGTATAATTTTAAAATAAGATTTTTTTTAAAAAAAAACTACATTGCCCTCAAACGTTTTTGGCCACTAAATACGATTTATAATGAACCTCTTGTCAAATTTTCAAGCATTTCTATTTAGTCTATAACAATTTTATCTCCAGAGTAACTGTTAAATACAAATTAGGAACGTAAAAAACTAAAATCTCTATAAATAGCTCAAAAATGGCTGAAAAGTTTTAAAAATTTTATCACGTCTAGAAAAATAAAATACAAGTTTTCTGTCAAATTTTCGAATCTCCATGAATATTTGTAATTTAATTGCATTACATAAACAGAATTTAAATAATAAAATAATTATTTTCGTCAATATTCCCGTACTTTTTATGCATTTTTCGGTTTTGCTGAATGATTAAAAAAAACTACAAAGAAAATCAAAAAACAACTTTCTTTATCAATGTTGTTATGTATTAAAAAAAAAAAAAAAAAAAATAGAATCAATCACTTTTCATTTTTCGATTGAAGCAGTATTTCTGGTAGAAAATAAAATTTGTAAAAATTAATGCAATAAATAAAGTCGCGGCGCACCGTGAATATTTACCGTTTTACCTATAATTTTCCAAATTATTTCGAAAACTCCTCGGAAAATCTTGGATAAATGATCTCTTTAATACACCAATTGGACGGAATTCCCTTTCAGAAAGAATACCGTGTTCGGTATTCTGTACATCGCAGCAAGATTTCTTAACGAAAAGTCGTTTACACGCAAAAGAAGAAAAGAAAAGAAAAGAAAGAAATGTGCACACGTTGCAAAACCAACAGATCCCCCGCTGCGTTCCGAATCTAAAACTGGTTATTGATAAGAGTATAAATGTTTTTTTTTTTTTCTTTCTAAAATACAGGTACGGTTCCCCGGGACTAGACTTATCGTACTTCCTGTACAAGTGTGCGGACCAAGACGTGCAGAACGACCGGTGGGAAGAGCTGCTGACAGTGTACTTGGAGTCGGTGTCTGTCGTGTTGCCGGTCGACGTGAAAGCTCCTACCATGGATCAGTTGCACCACGAGCTCAAGTTCCACGCGCTGTACGGTTATGCGCACCTGCTGTTCGCCGTGCCGAACATGATCAACGAGTACCCGCTAGACCGGACGCTGCTCGAAGACGACAAGGCGACGTTTGAGGACCAGCTGGTCGCCCGGCTGGACTCGTCCGACGACAAGATCACCCAGATCCTGTCCGCAACGGTCCGGCACATCATCGATCACGGATACGCCCCGCTAAACATTCGCAGTACCGTATCACAGCAGTTATAAACGTTATAATTCAGTATGTAGTCATTTAATTGTTTATGTCATTCAGCACTGTTTTTTTTTTTTTTTTACTATGAGGTCATATGTTAACTCGTTGACATATTTTTGTTATTATTATTATTATTATATATATCGTTATAAAATGTTAATCCCATCCGGTATAAAAAAAAAAAAAAAAAAAAACAAAAAATTAATACAAGGATACTATGATATTATTAAGTTTTAGCTTAAACAATTGAAGTTTTAACTGGTTATTGGTATTGTTTTACCTATAAAATAAATTAAACGTTTGTTTTTGAATTATTGTACTACGTTAATGTTTCCGATAAACGCATCCAGTGACGGCCTGGCACACCAAAGGCACCTAGAGCATTTGTTTTAAGGTGCTCCATAAATGAAAAACACAAAGACCATTGAAACGGTACGATATTGGACCGGAGTAGGTGCCATCCATCGGTTGATAATATTTCTAAAAATAACCACGGATTTCGTGGCAAAGTAGGTAGGTGTAAATACCTACTGTAATACCTACTATTAAACAGTATCTTAGAGTGTTATCCATATGCTATTGACCTTGTGAATATATTTTTTTTTGTTTTCAATCAGGTTTGGTGTCAGGGGAACACAGATGTAGAAGGAAATTTAATTTTAATTTTCGTCTCTAAATCACTGAAAAACTTTTTAAAATTTTAAAAATAGTCAATTTGTTAAACATATTACTCTAAAAATGTTAATATATCACTCATTCATATCTGACCAATAGTTTATTAGTTTTAATATCTGGAGAAAAGTGTGAACAACAAAACTACCACGTTACGCGATAGCGAATCATAGTCGTAATACAAAACAAGAAATGCTGAAGTGTTGAAATTAAAACGGATATCACTAAAAATAAAAATTAAATTGCTCTCTATATTTACGACCCGTGACACAAAACGCGATTGAAAAAAAAATATAAATATGGATAAGACTGTAGGACACCCTGTGTTATCGAAATTCACAAAGGCGGTTTTCAGTTTTCAGTATTTAGTGTAATAAATGATTATATTTCAATGTTTTACTACAGTCTACAGTAGTCAACTAAATTCTAACTATGTATCTTTGCACAAAAAACCGCCAGTAGTTAAAACGACAATATTTATTTTTTACGTTTTGGGATCCTGGCCACGTCCGCGACCTAACGTTCATGGCCGGGCCCACAGTCATACAAATAAATCATAAATCTATTTATACCTACGACTTACGAGCATATTATTATGTATGCGGTCGAGATGTATATTTTATTACAGTGTGTGCTGTTTTTTAACAAGTTTTAACCAGAAATTCATTCATCGACATCATCGAGTTGTTGAAGGTACCAAATCCTGTCGAATCAGTGCATCGGGAAGGACACGTTTTAATTTATGTTTATTGTAACCAATTTATCACCAAAAACAGTGGCCTATTGGCGAACCTTACTACCCTCGTACGAGACGCGTAGCGACAGCGCACAAAACATTCGCAATAACGGACTGGCTTTCATTTTTTATTATCCAATTTATCTGGCACCGGAGTATTCAAGCGTGCAATTTTCTCAATAAAAACGGTCTCCTTTTGTTTTTCGTCGTGTTTATCATAATTTAATCCGTGGAGACTGCCGCTCAACCGTTGCGAGTCTATTCAACTGATACATTTATATGCCGACGCGTTAAGTCAGCTTTTGTGAGCTTTGCACATTATCGGCCAACACCAGTTGTCGTCATCGTCGGTGACTCCTGGCTCCTCTAGACCGTAAAGCGCACAACTATTGTCTCTCTAAATCATTAATACGATTGTTTTCCGCGTCCGATTGTGTTACATACATATACATATAGCAGATACCTAGTACATCGTGATATTTTAACGATAAAAAAATACAAACTTTCCCCAATTCAATTTACCTGTAAAATATTATTACCATAGTACATTATCTATAGGTATACGAACAATAGAGTAATATGTTTTTTGTTTCAATATCTGACACACCGGTAGACGGGGGAGGGCGTTGCCGGGAGGGAGAGGGGGTAGAAAAGGAAAACATAAACTGAAAATAATCGAAAAACTTTTTTTTTTTTCCTCCCGATATTATAATATTATCGTGCGCCGCCGCCGGATATCGCGGAAAAAGCGCGGCACCCCATCCGGATCGTCGGCCGATACACTCGCGCGCGCCCGGCCCCGAGACCATTTGCCCGAATGGATTTCCAAAACCGTATCCGATTTTAACTGCGCCCTGGCGGCCAATAAATCTGAATTTAACCGTAGTCCGCGCGCATAAAACATTTGTCGTTGCCGCCGGCTAAACGCACATTAACAACCCTTCACCTCCGATCCCGAGTTCCCGTACCCGACCTCGAGACTCCCGCCTCCCCCTTGCCCGTACCGCCGGGACCGTAAGTAAATCGTAGCATCCGCTGTCCCGTTGGTCGCGACGCGGTTTCTGTGTGCGTCCTGTACGTGCATCGCGTCCACGTCCTTGCGATATTACCTCCAAGTCGGACGGGAAGGCTGCATAACCATAATATCATGATAACATTAATATTATTATGTTATACTGCTGACGAATGACAACGGAGTAAATTTAATGAAGTGGGGGGGGGAGGGAGGGTTGTTTCGGGAAATCGAAAAACCGCGTGTTCCGTTACTGGATAGATGTTGATAATTTTTACATTTTTTCCCATTATCATGTACATTGCTATCTTAAGTTGAAATTCGATTCATGCTTCATTGATTCAGAATACCTAAGTACACATTTTTGTTTGCGTTTTTTTTTTTTTTTTTATATTTTTTACAAAATTTTAGATTCTGAGTGGAACCAGGAATGTATTGGTTTTGCAATGTTAATTTTTTTTTTTTTTTTGTGGACAACTTTTCTACCGGTAATTTTTCTCACATTTTCAATTATAACACTTTTTCCGAAATCTGACTGGGGTGATATTTTAAACAAATCATTTTTTGATTTTTCCAGCTATTTTCATAATAAAAATGAAACACCGGGGAAAAAATTGAAAACTATGAAAATAGGTACACTATTAAACAAAATATATAACGAGTATGTTAATATTTAAGTTTAATATACTATCTATATACATATATTGCTGACAAAGCAACACTATCAATCAAACTTCACTCTTTTTTTTTTAGCATTTGTTAATATATTTTTAGAGGGTTTTTCTTGTGATTAAATGTATAGAATACAGGTGATCGCTTGTCTTACTATACAAGTTTTTATAGAAAATCGCCCTTATAAACGCTCATATATGATATTTGTCTAGTGTCGTTCAAGTTTTATTCTTTTGGTTTTTAGGTTATTTAAGCATGGCAATGTATATAGACAGTATATAAAGTATTTTAGACAACAAAGTCATCTGCATTTCAAACAATAATCCACTCCTTGCCAGCCAACATTTACAAAACAATTCAAATCTCTTGGAAAGCTGATATTCCAAATGGAGAATAATAAAAGTAAATAATGTAAAATTATTTCATATCATATTCACTCTCAATAAAAGTGTAGCTCCTTCAGTTTATTTAAATAATAAAATCATCCCATCTTCTTCTATTATCCGTTACTCGGATTTGGCAATGGACAAAAGATTAACTTTGGCTGAAAAAATCAAAAAAAATCTACTTGTGCTAAACTCCAAATGAAGAGCACTTTATCCACTTATAGAAAGTTAATCTAAAATGAGTATAAATACAAAAGTACTAATGTATATATCCTTCCTTAAGCCAATTCAGTCAAATGGGATAGTCTAACTATGGAAAGAAATAAAAAAAATCTAATATTTACATAATCCTAAAATTCCAATCGACTTTACTACAAATGACTGCATGTGCGATATGCCCCCTCTTATATTTCGAACCACACTTTTTATTCAGACTTAAAAATGCATATAAGAAGCAACAAAACTTTCATACAAACTTGAAAACCACTCTAATCCTATTGCACTAGACTCCGGAATCTATTCCATGAAATCCGCCGAGAAGGCTAAAGAGAAACTGGTGTCATGACCTGAAATAATAACCAATCCATTTCTTGCCAGTAAGTGTTGCCGCTGAGTGATTGCTTCATCATATCTATAATATATTATATTATAAATCCTCCAACATTCTTATTGTAAACATTTTTTTCACAAATTGCGTGTTTTTGTTTTGGTCGATTTTGAAACTTTGTTTTAATCATCAAAATCCTATCTCTTATAACATACCAGAGAAAGTTAGCATAAAAATTATGATTGGTATCTCACGAACAAAATTTTAGTCATTTCATTAAAAACTATATACCTATCGTTTATTATATACTATTCGACAATTTTAGGTTTTGAGCATAGCGAAGGATCTATTGGTTTTACTACGATGTGTGTGTGCGTTTTTTTCCTATACACAGAGCATATTTTATTTTGCACATTTCTCCTTTTAAAAGATAAAAACGCATAATTGTATGCATCTATTGAATTTTGTTCGTCTGTATAACTTCTCATCCCAAATAATAATATTCGCGTTTCTGCAAAGTAAAAATGTATAAATTCAAACGAGTTTGTAAAAAGTTTTTTTCTTCCGACCGGCTGCGCCCGGGGGACCGATCGAATGGAGTCGATTTACATTTGCTAATTGCCTCATAACTCACAACGACAATCGAAAATATTATTTTTCGATACACGCGCGTTTTCGTACAGCGGTGATTTTTCACGTAAAACCAGTAAAACATTAAATTCTTGTCTTTTTTCGAAAAGTCACATTTAAAGCGATATTTTAGTCTCTATATATCGTATAGCCCGTTTTTTTTCAAGGTTATATTAACTTTTGTTAACAGATTTTTTTTTTTTTTTTCAATGTGGAAATATACCATATTATTAAGTATTTTTCATAGTTTGTATTTTGTAGATTATTGTTAAATCGAAATGACGTTTTAAAGAGTCTCGGTCGACGTCAGTTTGATTGATTGAAAACCAATTTAACGTATTTTGTTTTTCTTTAAAGTTTTCTTTTGTATTTTTATGGTTTTGTAACATTTAAACCAGAGTTTAATTTAAAACGTTATTATTATAACATTAAATGATTAAAAAAACTATTGAAATCAGTAGCGGATAACATATCAATAAACGATAAACGATAAATAATTGAAACATAGCACTATAACAGAAAATAAAAAAGTTCATTTTAGCTTTTAATGTTTACCCGACAACAAAGAAACATATTAATAATTTTATCTATTTATTATCAGTACAATATACATTTTTAAGTTTTAAGTTTAGTTTTGGTATCAATATTTGGTATAAAACAACTCGTTACAACTACAGATGTTAAAAGACAAATGTTCACACGTTTCTGTTGATATTACTACCACAATATTATAACGTAGTATATTAAAATTTTTATTTGTAGATTTAACAACAATATTTCCGTGTACCGTTGTGTACAAAGGTTGTTTATGTTTTATTTCATTGCCAATGTGTACAGATTCCAGCCAATTTCTGTGGTCGTGATGCGGGAATACACTCGATTTTAGTTTTCCGAAAATTGTACTATTGAATGTTACTTAATATTGTTTATGGTTTAAAGTTTAAACTAAATAATATCTTATTAACATGAAAATTGTCTAATTTCGTTTAAAAGAACATAAAATGAGTGTTTAAATTTTTAATTCGATGTTTTAATGCAATATGCACATATTAATAACCATTAACTTTACATAGCATTTAAAACTACAGTAAAACAAAAATTAAAACCATTCAATTTGAATAACGTTTAAAACGTTTAATCGTTAAACTGAAAAATTGTATGAACGTTTTTCAAACGAAAATTTGTATAACTTTGAAACACATAAAATAAACAACGTTTAAATTTCTTATAACGTTAAACATTAAATTGCTAATAACGTTCGAATTTTTTACAACGGTAAAAAATATTTTTATTTTTGATTTCAACTCTGATTTAAACCTTCACAATTGGTTGAAACTTTTAATTTTAATTGTAAAACCAATATTTAAAAGAATACTCTTAATATTAAGTATACAATACAATATTAGTACTATTGTAGTTTTTTTTATTATTTTAGATTCTGAGTGAAGCGAAGAAGTTTATAGTTTTAGAAAGATGTTTATTATTATTTATTTATTTTTTTTTTATCTTTGCTCAACTTTTCTACCAGAAGACTTGTTTGGATTTCTACGTTTAACACCTTTTTTCTGAAAGAAAATTGGCATGGGGAAGTCATTTTTTGATTTTCCCAAGATTTTTCCCAGCAAATGTGAAAAACCGGCATAAGACATGGGAAAACCGGGAAAAACGTAGGCAAAATGGGAAATTCGGTACAACATTAATCAAATATTATTAAAGAAAATATATAAAGCATATTTAATTATTTTACTATAAAATAACATATATTTTGTTGACAAATCATCACTATCAACTTAACTCCGCTCAGAATCGTTTATTCGTAAGCAGTGGTTTATTGTTGCTTACAAGTATACATTAAACTATCTATAACAGTGTTTGCATTCACCTCCATTATCCTAAAATATCTTTTTGTACATAACACCTAACATATAATAATATTAATTGGTAACCAAACGTGTTATTTTTCTAGAGATATGGTATACCATATCGGTGTATTGATTTATACCCAAACATGATTTATTTAAGGTTTGTATATCAAAACGTGTTTCGTCCTTTATTATATTTTTCTTATATTTATTTAAATTAGCTACCCGAACGAAAAGAAACGTGTTTCCCATTAATTCCTCGTTTCCACCTCCGTCCCTATTAAAGTTAACCACCATTGCCAGGTAATTTATTTTTTAAAAAGGATATTTCCTTGCCTGTGATAATCAAATTAAGTGTTAATAATAGTTTTTTTCAACTATCACGCCAATCATAATCAACAAATATAATTACATTTTTTTATTGATATAATACCAATACTGTGTGTGAGCCACCTTCCGTGGTCGAATTTCGGATATCCGACTTTGAGGTATATACGGATCAGCTCATTCGCTTATGTATGTAATTTTACAGACTTATACTTGGGATAGATAACACATAACACGCAGATAAACCGACACTTCTTTTTATCAATATAGACTTCAATAGTGAATAGCGTTATGAAGAATACTGGACTCAGGAGCAAATCAAACAAGTTTTTTTTTTTTTTTTTACTCTATCTAGGTATAAAATAGATGGAAAAATAAAAACTATTTTTAATATATTAGAAATGATTACTACTTCCGCCACATTGGAATCGTATAATTTGTCTCGAGGTATCCCATCAGATAGTAATCACATATAGGCACACGCAATTACTCGCATACGATATTAGTTAACGGTTCGAACGAGTAAAAGAAAATATTCATTTTACAAAAAAAAAAAAAAAAAATCATAAATAATACGAAATGAGAACGTTAAATACGACGAATAATAAAATTTACGGAAAATTTGAATGTAGAAAGTGCAGGCGCATAGAAAATAGCGTTGTTTATTAGATTTAGAATCAATTCAGGGGGAATAGCCTACTATAATATATATATTCACAATACGTTTATACTGTCTATCTGAGAAAATAAATGGGACCATTAAAATCGTTTTTCACGTAAACTGGTAAAGTACCCAGACAAAATTATATAATATTCAAGTACACACACATATTCTTAAAATAATTTAATATAATGTAATACACAATATTGGGAAAATCAAAAATAATATCATTGAATCGTTTGAATAACAAATAATATAATACAGTAACTATAATTTTAGTGGAAAAGTTAACCTTAACACACATACATACACACATACACACACACACACACACAAAAGCGAACATCATATGCAAACCCAATGCATTCTTCGCTGCGTATGGAGTCTGAAAATGTTTAAATTATAAAATGGTACAGTATGGTTAGAACCTGTACATTTTTAAAATTTGATTATTACATAAAACATTATTATTTTTTATTTGTTTGGAGAATTATGCTAGTTTTGGTTTTCCATTAGATTTATTTTTTATCAATTACCGAATAGGAAATTGTATTGAATTTTAGATGATTTTCGAGGAGTTTGGGCCTGTAGAATATTTCAAGTGCACGCATAGGGATCGCAAATATTGCAGGGACCGTCAACCGAATTCCGTATAATGTGCTTTTTGTGGTGTAGTGTTATCGCGTAATTGAAAAATAAACGAATATACTACAACACATCTTCTTTTGTTAATTTAAATTTAAATTTCGTTTCATATTGAATAGAAAAAAAATCTATTAATTTTCGATTTGTAAAATTAACATAATATAAATGTTCGAACAAACAGAATATATTATAATACGTATAACACACACGTTCGTTATTTATGTGTGTATGTATATATGTATGTATGTATGTATGTATGACGTATGTATATACACATAAATATAATAAAAAACACACTTCATAGTAAAAACAATACATTCCTCATTCTGCTTAGAATTTTAAAAATAAAATTTGCACATAATTGTATAATATATTAATATCAATAGAAATAAGTGAAATAAACCTTATGGGTAATTACTTTAAATTTTAAGTCATTATTAAACAGTTGAAAATTATCAAGTAGGTACCATATTAAATGGAATTTGTTATTTTAATAATATCTTAATAAAATAACGAAACTGTTCATCGATCTAATAAACCACCTATAGCACTTTATGTGTAATCAAGAGGACGAATTGTATTTGATTGGCTTATGAAGTATGAATTGTTTGTGCTATAAATTATTTGATAAATGATATTGTATGTGATCATATGAAAAATATTCGAAAACGATAAAATAGAGACTAGACTTTACATCATTATCAGAGAGTGGTCATTTCATCACTCTCATAGGGGGTCAACATTATTATATGTCCTAACGGAAACATAATTTCAATAGTTGCTTAGTACGAGCATTTGGACAAAATATTGCGAAAACCAGACACGTATGCAGATAATTTTACGGCGGGGTGAGATTCGGAGAGGATCATAAGTAAAAAGATCAAACATTTTTAACAAAACTATAAAACTAGTATGCAATGTGTTTTTTGAATTTCTAGGGGAGGTGTTGAACCTCCAAACCTCTCCCTTCATTTATTATTTATCATGCATCATGTCGCAAGTGAATTGCACCATATAATTCAGGTCACAGAAATATTACAAACATCTAAGAACCGCTCTTTCAGAAATGGTGCCGCGTGTATATATCTGAGCAAGATTTCTGGTAGAATTTTTGTACACAATATTAAAAAAATAAAAAAAAATAAACATCTCAGTGAAACCAATACATTCTTCGCTATACTCAGAATCTAAAATCAGAAAAGTACCCTAATCACTCTGTATAGTGTATATGTAAAGAAAATATGGATGGTTTAATGTTTAGTCATAAGTTACAGAACAATATAATACAAGTAGGTGAACTTGATACTTGAAAAAAAAAGTTTGGGAACCTCCAATATAAGCTGTCCTGGTTGTTTTGTTCTATTATAGTGATTTCGGGCAAATAAAAATGAGAGCGTTTAAATTATTAAATATCCAACTTCAATGTATTATTGTACTATGTACAAAAAACGATGGTGTAAAACCGTACAGGTATTATAACAATTCGCGGAGGTTTTTTTTTTTTACAAATCGAGCAAAACCCTTTTGTGACGTTTTTTTTCCCCCCTCGCGACTCGATACTATAATCACGTTTTACGGACGATTTACATCGACGATGGTTCGTTTGATCAATCGCTTTTAGGTATTATACTATTAAAGGCAGTATAAATAACCTTTGTTTCAGAATGAACTATAAAGAACTGAACAAACGATGCACATTATATAATAATGTAATTCGCTTAAGGGGTTGCTCTTTCTGGCTCTCAGACCTGCGGCCGCCCAGCGATTATCCGCGCGTAGTATTTACCAGAGGACGATATTTAAATGGCCCCGTATGACCTATTCGGTGAATTAACCGCTTATATTATACAAACAGCGAAATACGTCGAACCGCGAGAGGGGGACGGCTGCAGCCAGTGTTTCGAGCCCACGGGCGTCGTAATTTTGTGGCGCACAAAACAAACGGTACAGGTATAACGTACTCGCCGAAACAAAAGTGAAGGTTCCGGAATAAAAAAAAGAAAAAAGAAAAAGGGGCTTTTGTGGAAGGAAATTAAAGACGTCAGAAACCGTAGAATTTTTCCAACATTTTGTATTAAAATATTATTAAAAATCCCTTTCCTCTCTCGACGCACGTGTTCAAAGAGATAGTGTCCCATTCACCGCCGCCGCCGCCGGAGCAATAATTCACTGATGAATCCATAAAGATTAAAAATCATCCCGTCGTCGTCGACCACGGTTTTAATTGCCGCAGAAGGCTTGCCGCCCCGAATTTATATTTTGTTATCTCAACTGAACAACAAACAATTATATTATTACACACGATTTCCACTTTTGGTCAATAAACGTCGCGTCGCGTGCCCCCCCCCCACCAAGTTGATAGTGTTATGTTTCGTAGAGATATAATAATACACGTATATAAATGATACCGATTAAAATTGTGTTTTATTGGCCGTTCGAAGGGGTCGAAAACAGAGTTATATGGTTAAATATTATATTTGATATAATATAAATAATATTATTATCATTGTTGCGTGTAGTAGTTATTAAATTAATTTAATGCGCCTACACTGCTCAGTTTGAATACACGGTGTCGTAAACAACAACATTCGTTAAAAGATTATACGCACGGTGTCACACAAATTCTGATCATACAGTATCATTAATTGTATCCAAGGCCAAGAGCGTTCCCGATCCTGTTTCCAGGGAGGTAGTGACTTTTATGTATTCAAAAAAAAAATCGTTTTTTAAACGACTATAAATACTGAGCCGGACGTTTCGATATGAAATATAATTTTTAGTATTTTACGCATAATTTCAACCTATAATACATGAGTTATACACAAAATAAGTATCGTACAAGAAAATAAAAAATAAATAGAATTTTTTTGAATAATCAATTGGTACTTATAATTATTATCCGGCCAACTTGCTATAAAACAGCACACCGTCGGCTTAATCTACAAATGAATGTTCACCGTATTCTCATAACACTTTTTTTTTTTTTTTTAAACTAGTAAGTAGTACTCAAATCGGTGGGTAGGGGGCTGTGAGGAGACTCCATACATCGACAAGTATTGTCCGAAATATTGGTGTACCCCAACTAATTAAACTGCACACTGCACGTCGAAATATTTCACACCGCTATAAATAGCCTATACAATAATAATAAATCTGAAGTTTTGCAATCGTCTATCAGGAAGGAAACATGTGTTGAATAACTTGTGAATTATGTTAGAGTATTAAAAATAATTGAAGTTATAATCACAAATTTGTTTTTGCACCGATTCATGCACAAAACATTTTTATGTTACACAATTCATGATTCAGGTAGACCAACATTTCACGAGATAATTAATACCAATTGCCCTTTTACCGTACGGCTGTTTACTTCATATAAATTATTATATAATTCTATCGTACGTTCGGTTATCCAGTTGTTTTTATACGATTGCAAATAGGGTGCATTCAGAGGCGTATTTGTAATTTTCTTGAGGGGGATAAGTAAATTATTTTTTTATCGGGTACTTAACTTCATATATTTTCTAATTATAATTAATGTTAAAATAATAATTGAAAAAAAAAAATTAAACTTTTAATAGATATAAAAGATCTCATTTAAAAACGTTACGGCACTATGAAATAAATTATTACCACAACGCTCTTATTACTTGATAGTTTGTAATCATAAATTGGATATAATCAAATTATTTTATCGATTTAAATAAATTACTTGACCTATGACTTAATTTTAAATCGCAATAAACGAACATAATAACCTAACTAAATATACACAATTAATATACATACTATACATATGTATGCATAATTCGATTTTGAAAGTAGTAAATAATTAATAAAAGAGTTAATTGTAAAAATAAAGTATTTGATTTACTTTGGTATGCGCTTTTTATTATTTTTTTTTTCTTTTATGTCTGTGGACAACTTTCCTACCATAATTTTTGATTCAATAATAAATGATAATGGTAGCTTTTTTGTAGCATTTTAGATCTAGTTGATACAACGAGGAAGTAATTTTTTGATTTCCCTCGATGTCTTCTATTATTGTTATAGAAAAAACCGTAAAAAAACTTATAAAAAACAAAAAGGTTTATACCTTTATGGTAATAACGGTTTTATTATTTTCGATTTGGTTTTTAGTTGTACTTTGGTTAAAAATAATCGTATAAACAACTTTTTAGTTTTTTATAGGCATTTGACATTTTCAACTTTTTAAGTTTTTATTTTGTTTTATATGTATACACAATTGTTTTGGCAGAGCAAAAATGTTTAAAGTTTGAAGAACATAATAAACCGAGCTTCACTCATGTTCGTATTTCGTAAGCAATGATTATTTTTTTTTTAATTATCACACACTGTATGAAAATTATGATTACGGTTACGTACGTTATTATGACGTGGTTACATTGTTTTTTTTTTTTTTGTTTCAACCGGGTTCCTATTATTTGTATAATGGCATTGTAATAATTTAACCTGTGCCAGTAAAAATGAAATATTTGTTGATTAGTAATTGCTCGCATACAATGCGTAATCTACGCATACTCTATAACGTAATTGAAAATTATATTACTACAGCGAATAGGTAGGTACCTATAAATTATATAATGTATACAAAAATATATACACATAAATATCGAAAAAGAAAAACGAAAAACTCGCAGTTAACCAATTTTAATAATTTCGAATGTTATAGGCAAATGTATACGAAAGTAATTTCTACCTCATAACATTATACATGTGCGAAAATAAAGCTCGTTGATATTTTCATCCTAAACAAAATATTGTAGTACCGCGAAAGTATTATCGGTCTATATTATGTATCACGTATGTATATATAGCAATAGGAAACGAGGTAGGTAAAAAAAAAAAAAAAAAAAAAAAAAAAAATGGTTAGTGGCTTATTATCTCGTCCAATTTATTCTGTGGAAATATCCTAACCAAAATGATCCTACTCTCTCTCTCACTATATATATATATATATATATATCTATATGCATGCGTATATAAAGCACGCAGTAACCCTTCGCACGATGAAAAAAATAACACGATTCTTGATAATATAATATTCATTTTAAGCGGCTATCGTCCTGATATCAAATTATTTATTTAAGAGTTTACATTTTTAGTATTGCCGCGATAACATAATCATAAAATATGAAAAAAGAGAGAGTTTCCTTTAGGCGCATAGGAGTAATACGAATTCAAGAAATGAAAATAACGTAATACGTGCGTAAGAACGAATTTGTTATAAAAATGTATTATAAGAGACAAATTTTAATAATAATAATAATAATAAAAAAAAAGAGCTAATACTGAATACGGGTACAGCCATTGTATTTGACGGGAAGTAGGGAAGGTAGGATACTTAATGTTATTTAATTTACATCTGTACTCAAAGATAAAGGCATTTCTAACGAAATTTGTTTGTATTGTGGGTTTTAAAAGGCCGTAATATTTATGATTTTCGTTAATATTTGATCTTAAAACGTTTGTCATAATTTTGATAAAATTACATATAAAAACACGAAAAAATCAACTACCAATTAATAGTCTTAAAATAGCTAGAATGTTTTGAAAGTTTTACCATGTCTATAAAAGGCCAATATAATTATTTTTTGAAGACTACAGATTTCTACAATAATTTTATCCGAAAAAAACAATAAAAACCAAAATGCCGTGTATTTTCTACGTTTCTCTTGGTTTTTAGTAATTATTAGAAAAAACAACGTTTTT